GGAGATAACTGCAAGACATATACACTGTAAAGAAAGGTAATCTCATAGGAGAGGCACTAGTAGAATGAGAGGAAGAGAAGGATGGGGAAAGGCCTCCTGCAGAAGGTAAGGAAAGAGAACTTTCTTGGCTTGAGATACATCCAGTGAAAAGGCCTGGAGTCCAGAGATGGGATGTCATATTTGAGGAATAGCAAAAAGGCCAGTGTCTCCACACGGCATAGAAGGAGAGTAAAGCTTAAGATGACCAGAAGGTAGAAAAGGGCCAGGTTGTGAAGGGTTTAAAATGCCGAAGAGAGGACCTTCTATTTGATCCTGGAAGTCATAGCCACTAGAGTTTATTAGGTCTGGGAGTGACGTGGTCATATCTTTGCTTTAGGAAAACCACTTTGACAGCTGAATAAAAAATGGATTGGAGTAGGGAGAGACTTGGGGCAGGGGAATCAACCAGAAGAGTATTGAAATAGTCTCAGTGTGAAGGTGATAAGGGCCTGCACCACAGGTAGTAGCTATGTGACAGAAGAGAATGGGACATATAGGAGAGGTATGAAGAAGGTAGAAATGACAAGACAGCATCAGATTAGGTGAGATGAGTGTAAGTGAGGAGGCAAGGATGACAACCAGGGTAACTGAGAGGATGATAATGCTATTCATAGACATCGGGAGGTAAGAAGGGTTTGAGGGGAAAGATAATGAGGTTTGTTTTGTACATGTTGAATTTGAGATGCTTATAGGATATCCAATTCAAGATATGTAAAAGACTTTTGGTGATGTGAGATTGGAAGTCAGGAAAGAGGTTAGAGCTAAAGAGAAATAGATCAGCATAGGCATAATAATTGAACCCATAAGAACTTATGAGATCACTAAGAGGAAGAAGAGATGAGGGCCTAGGAATGAGCCTTGGGACACCCACAATTCATGGAGAAGAGTGGCCAAAAAGGTAAGAGGAGAATCCAGAGAGATCAGTGTCATAAAAACCTAGACTAGAGAAAATAACCCAGCAGAAGAGAATGATCTGTTGTCAAAGCTTGCAGAGGAGTCAAGAAAGATGAGCACTGAGAAAAAGCTATTGGATTTGATAATCCAGATCATTGGTAACTTTGAAGAAAGCAGTTTTAATGGAAGGATGAGGTCAGAAGCCAGACTGCAAAAGGTTTAGAAGAGAATGAGAAGAAAGAAAAAAAGAGGAGTAGCATAGATTACTTTCTCAAGGAGTTTATCCATAAGGGGAAGGAGAGAGCGATATAGGCTAGGAACTCATAGGGATGACTGGATCAAATGAGGATTTGGAGAAGACATGGGAATGTCTAGAGGCAGTAGGGAAGCAGTTGGGAGATAGGAAAAGATTGAGGATTAGTGTGGGGCTGGACAGGGATGATAGAGGAGGCAGTCTACTGGAGAAGACAGGATGGGACGGGATCAAAAGTGCATGTAGATGGTTTTACCTTGACAAGAAGGGTCACCTCTTTATGTGAGAGAAGGGTGAAGGAGATAACAGGTGTAAGTGTCTGATGTGAGGTAAAGAAGAGGTGGTTCGAGGGAACTCCTAGTAAATGACCTCAATCATTTTCATGAAGTGTGAGGCAAAATCCTCAGCTGAGGGGAGGAAGGGACACCATGGAATACTTGAGGAAGGATGACAAGGTTTTGGACTAGCAAATATGGTGGTGAGTAGGACGGTGAACCTGTTAGGAAGATGTTGAAAGGATTGCCTTACTGCAATTAGGCCCAATTGAGATTGTGTAAATCTGTAGTTAATCTGGTTAGCAAGATTTCATGAGCTCTAGTAAGCAGCAGGTAAATCGGAACAAAGGCAGGAGATAGTGAGAGTGTTCAAAAGTTGGGGTTGTATAAGGCATGATCAGTGATGTCAATGGAGGGTTGAGGATAGTATAGAGTTGATGATAAGGAGTCAAGGAGGTAAATGAAAGAGAGTGTAGCAAAGGTGATGGCTTGGGAAAGAACTCTGAGGGGTGAGGGATTGGAGGTTATGGTGAGGATGAAGAAGAAACCTAAGAGTCATAAGGCAGAAAGATGGAGTGATAAAAGATGATCAGATAAAACAATTTTGCATTCATGAATATGGAATCCACTTTTGTGGGTGATGGTAATGTCAAGGGTATGGCTATCTCTACATGAGATAGATGAAGTGTGTGCCTCATAGGTAGGTCATGGAAATGGAGTAGATTGAGTAACTGGGAAGTTCAGATACTTGAGGAAGTATCAATATGTATGTTAAAGTCCATTCTCTAATATGAGGGTTGGGGTTGGGGCAGAGAGAGACTGTAGGCCAGGCACTGAACTCTTTGAAAAAGGAAAGAGAATATACCAAGGTTACCAAGAAGCACAGATAAATCTTGAGGTAGCAGAGAGAGGGGTTGCAAAAATTACCTTTCAGGCAAATGTCCAATTATTTCCATTGAACCAGCTGAAAGTTACCCGACAAAATCAGACCTGGGAAACAATAAGCTTCATTGCTGCAAAAGAGACTATCTAGCGTAACCCAAAGGTTTGCTCCAGGCCCATGTTAGCTACATGGCCAGTATTATATGAGTGGGACTGGTAACATGTGGGGTTCCATTCTCCACATCCCCAACTTGGAAAGACTATGAGGAGCTCCCTGGCCTCTGCGGTCCTTTGGAAGGGTCATGCTTTTCTCTGCTCTTTGATTCAAGGTCAGACCACAGCTCCTTTCCTCTAAAAGACTCAGCACACATCATCATGAAGGTGTTGCTCATTCAATTCAGGCATGTCCGGCTCTTCGTGACCCCGTTTGGGATTTTCTTGGCAAAGATACCGGAGTAATTTGTCATTTTCTTCTCCAGCTCATTTTATAGATAGGGAAACTGAGTCCAAGAGAAGTGAATTGAGTTGCCTCAGGTCACAAAGGTAGGAGTGACAGGGCCAGAATTTTTTTTTTCTAAAATTTTATTTAAGTTTTTAGCTTTTCTTGTTTATCTTTTTATTAAAATTGTCTGAAAGGAGTATATTGCAATCTCCAAAACTATTATAGCTTTGTTGTCTATTCCCCTCTGTAATTAATTTTTCCTTTACATACTTAAGTGCCATCTTATTTGGTACTTATATATTAAATAATAATATATCATTGTCTGTGTTCTTTAAGAATAATGTCATTTCCCTGTTTAATTTTTTTTATTAATTTATTTTGATTTATCAATAATCACTTCCATATGCTTTTGAGTTTAAAATTTTTCTCCCCTTCCCTCCCCACCACCCTCCCCAAGACAGCACACAATCTGATAATAGGCTATACATTTACATTCATATTAAACATATTTTCACATTAGTGATGTTGTAAGTAAAAATTAAAACCAATAGGAGGAACCATCAGAAAGAGGAAACAAAACTCAACAGAAGAGGGAAAAAAAATAGCAATTCAACTTCCATAGTTCTTTCTTTGGATATGGATAGCATTTTCCATCACAAGGCCTCTGGAGATGTCTTAGATCCTTGTATTGCCAGGAAGGGTTAAGTTTATCAATATTAGTCATCACACAACATGGCTGTTATTGTGTACAACGTTCTCTTGGTTCTGCTCACTTCACCCAGCATCAGTCCATACAAGTCTTTCCAGGTTTTTCTAAGGTCTGCCTGCTCATCATTTCTTATAGCACAGTAGTATTCCATCACATTCATATACCACAACTTGCTCAGCCATTCCCCAATTAATGGGCATCTTCTCAATTTCCAATTGTTTGCCACCACAAAAAGAGCTACTGTGAATATTTTTGTACATATGGGTCCTTCTCTCATTTATATGATCTCTTTGGGATATAGCCCTAGAAGTGCTATTGCAGGGTCAAAGGGTATGCACATTTTTGTAGTTCCAAATTGCTCTCCAAAATGGTTGGATCATTTCACAAGCAGGGCCAGAATTTGAACCCAGGTTCTCTCACTCCAAAACCAGGGCTCTTTCCACTGAGCACACTGCTTCCTCACCATGTGCAGTTGTTTGGGTCTGTCCCAGAACAGCCCGGAGGAATCCCACCCATGACAGCAACTCCTCTGAATCCACTCTCTTCCCTCTGGCTCTGGTAACTGCCCAGTAGTAATAAGATAATTCAAGGATTCATGTTGCCTCCTAAAATGAGGGTGTGACAGCATGATTACAAGCTTCCTTTGGTCAGATTGTCACCCTGTGGAGGAGTCAGCAGAGTCAGCAGAAGGAAAATAAAATCTCTTCTCCCTCCACCACCACTACCTAGCTCCTACAAGATAGGTAGGACACGTACTATTGTGCCCATTTTACAGATGAGAAAACTGTCTAGGAAAGGTGAATCAACTTTGGGGCCACCCAGTGAAGTTTGTAGTAGAACAAAGACTAGAATCCAGCCTTCCTAATTTTTAGTCCATGGTTCTTTCCAGTACATATGTGTGTTTGTAACTCTCCCCTTCTTTCTGTCCTACAACTTAAATTTATTTTCTCTGCTTTTGCTTTACCTCATTACCAAAACTGGTTCTGTTATTCTGGCCACTGCTGAAGTAGGTAGGGAAAGAAAGAAGAAAACAAGCATTTATTAAGCACCTAATTTATACCAGACACTTCACAAATATTTGGTCTTCACAATAACCCTGAGATATTTGCTGTTATTATCCCCATTTTATAGTTGAGGAAACAAAGGCAGACAGAGGTTAAATGAGTTGCCACGGGTTACACAGCTAGTAAGTGTCTCAGGCCGAATTTAACAATAGTAATAGCTAATATTTATGTGGCTCTTCCTATGTGCCAGGTGCTGTTGTAAAGGCTTTGCAGTTATCACGTTTGATCCTTACCACAACCTTCCAAAGTAGGTGCAATTATTATCTCCCTTTTACAAATGAGGAAACTGAGGCAAAGAGGTTAAGTGACTTGCCCAGGGTCACAAAGCTAGTAGGTATCTGAGGCTGGATTTGAACTTGAGTATTCCTGACTCTAGTTCTGTCTCTACTGGACTGCTTCTGGGGAGCTAAGGAGCTCACAGTCATTCTCCTCTCTTCTATAGTATCATCAAGAGGTTTGTCCGAATTTTTAAGTACTTTTATGGGATTCAGTTTGAGACGTACGGTGAAGAGAAACTGCATGATGACAAGCCATGTGTCATCATCTCCAACCATCAGAGCATCCTGGATATGATGGGTAAGCTGGGCTCCTACTGGATTCTGGGTTGGGGGTAAGAAGACAGTGCCTTTGAAACTGCATCTTTAGCAGGTCCTCCCTCCCTAAATTTCACAGACTGCTCACTCCCCTTAAGTGAGAGGTGTGTTGCTAAGTGCAGCTGCTGTTTTAGGTGAAGGTTCCCTTCCCTAGGGGAAGGGAACTGGTGCTTGAAGGGAGTGAAGGTTGGCTGACTGGAAGGAACCAGGATCCTTGGGTTGCTTTTGTATACACTATATTTTATAGCTATTCTGGCCTCTGAGAGCAAAGTTGCTCTTAGATCATGAAAAGAGATGGGAAGCAAATAAAGTTTTTAAATTGTATATTTAATTTCATCAGAAGGTAGTTCATATCTGAAGATTTTATTTGGGATTTCTTCTCATTTTATTTATTTGATTGGATTTGATGAGATCATTAATAAGTTAATCATTTTTTTAAAAAATTCTTTTTATTAAAAAAATGCTTTTTAAAAAAAGGCCTCTTTAGGATCTGGGCACACTTTATATGATCCTTTATGCTTTTCTTATGTCCTACTCCTCTCTACATAATCTTCACATAGCCAGTCTGAATTACTCAATATTTCCCAAGACCTTCCTTGTGTTTTCCTGTCATCTCCATACCGTTCTGCTCCCTCTGCCTAGAACAGTTTTTGTGACCCTTTTTTGCAGGTGGTCCCTATGGATAGGCTTGCTGTGCCTGGGAGCATCTAGGGTGGGATGGTCCTTCCCTTTTCTCTCCCTGTGACTGTGCCCTGGTCTTAGGTCTGATGGAGGTACTCCCAAGAAACTGCATCCAGATTGCCAAGCGGGAGCTGTTTTACATGGGCCCTGTGGGCCTAATCATGTATCTTGGAGGTGTCATCTTCATCAACAGAAAGCGGACAAGCGCGGCCATGTCAGCAATGGAGGAGGTGGGAAACACCTTGGTTCAGGAGAATGTGAGTCTGGTTTGGTGTCAAAGGTATAGTAGGGGTCCCTACCCAAGGGGAGGTGGGGCATGGTAGAAACCTGGAAATTTCTATTTCTAGAGGTTCAGGGCACTGGGTTCTAATTCTGGCTCTGGTACTAACTAGCTATGTGGCTTTAGTAAAACTACAGAAAGGTTACCATCTGAGCCTCATTTTCTCTGGTGTGCTTAAGGTGAGTCTGAATGACTCTTTATCAAAGATGGTGTGAAAGAGATTCCTAGATAGGGTGGGACTGTGGGTGAGCTAGTTTTTGAGGTCTCTTCCAAGGCTAAGATTCTAGAATTCTATGATCCTTAAAGAGGGTGATATCAGAGGTAAACTTTGTCCCCATCTTTTTTTTCCCCTCTCTTCTGTGACAGCTGAAAGTGTGGATTTATCCTGAGGGAACGCGGAATGAAAGTTATGACCTTTTGCCGTTCAAGAAGGGTGCCTTTTATCTGGCTGTCCAGGCCCAGGTGATGCATTTGGGGACAAGCTGGGGAAAGGCTTCTATTCAGGGGCCATCTTCTGGGAAGGGTAGGATTTGGAGTGGGGCACTTAGGGCAATCCAGGACTCAGTATTGTTTTGTCTTTGTTTCTCTATTGTTTAGTTCTGTGCCTGGAACATAGTGCTTAATAAATACTTGATTGATGGACAAAAGGAACTGACTTTTCTTCCTCTCCCCACAAACTTCAAATCTCAAACTTTATTCCTGGCTAGTCAAAGAGTAATCACTCAATACTTCCTTTCGGAGTGGGAGAGGCAATCAATAAACATTTATTAAGTGCATACTATGTGTCAGGCACCATACTAAGTACTAGGGATACAAAAAGAGGCAAAAGATAGTCCCTGCCTTCAAGGATCTTACATTCTAATGGTAGAGAGACAATAAACAAATATATACAAAGAAGCTTTGCACAGTCTAACTAGGAAATAAATGAACAGAAGGAAGACACTAGAATTAAGAGAGACCAGGAAGGTCTTCCTGAAGATGAGATTTTTAGTTAAGACTTAAAGGAAGCCAGGAGGTTTAAAATGAAGAGGGAGAGCATTCCAGGCAGGGGGTAGATAACCAGAGAAAATGCCCTGAGCCGAGAGATGAAGTGTCTTGTCCGTGAAAGAGCAAGGAGGCCAGTGTCCCTGGATCCAAGTGTATGTGGTAAGGAGTAAGGTATAAGAGGATGGAAAGGTAGGAGGATGCTAGGTTATGAAGGGCCTTGAATGCCAAGAAGAGGATTTTGTATTTGATCCTGGAGGCAATAGGAAGCTTTGGGAGTTTATTTGAGTAGGAGAGTGAAATAGTTAGACCTGTGTTTTAGGAAAAATCACTTTAGTGGCCAAAGGGAGGATGGATTGGAGTGGGGAGAGACTTGATAGGCAGATTTACGAAGACTATTGCGATAGTCTAAGCGAAAGCTAATGAGGACGTGTGCCTGCATAGCAGCAATGTCAGAGGAGAGAGGGGGCCATGTTCAAGACATGTTACATGGGTAAAATGGACAAACATTAGCAACAGATTGAAAATGGGAGGTGAGGGATAGTGAGGCATCCCAGCTAACTCCTAGGTTTTGAGCCTGAGGGACTAGGAGGATGGTAATGCCTTCTGCAGTAATAGGGAAGGTAGGAGGCAGGGAAGATTTAGGAGGAAAGATCATGAGTTCCATTTTGGTCATGGTGATTTTAAGATGTCCAATGAGTATCCAGTTTGAGATGTCTGAAAGGCAGTTAGACATGCAAGACTGGAGGTCTTACTTAACAGTAGATTTGAGAATCATCAGCATAGAGGTGGTCATTAAATCCATGGGAACTAATGAGATCACCAAGGAAGATAGACAAGAGGGCCCAAGAGAGAGCCCCGAGGAATACCTGTGGTTAAAGGGTGTGATCTGGTTAAGGACCCAGCAAAGGAAACAAAGAAGGAGCAGTCAGATAGGTGGGAAGAGAACCAGGAGAAAATGGGATCCTGAAAACCTAGAAAGTATCAAGGAGGAAAGAGGAAGTAGTAGTATGAGGGTTGAGAAAAGGCCAGTGGAAACTAAGATCATTGGTAACTTTGGAGAGAGCAGTTTGGATGGAATGATAAGGTGGAAAGCTAGATTGTAAGAGGTTAAGAAGAGAATGAGATGAGAGAAAGTGGAGATACTTATTGTGGACAGCCTTTTCAAGGAGTTTAGCCACAAAGAGATAGAGGACAATAGTTGACAGGGATGGAAAGGATCAGGTGATGGATGGAAAGAATCAGGTGATGGTTTTTTGAGGATGGGGAAGATGGACATTTTTATAGACACTAGCGAATGAGCTAGCATAGAGGAAAGATTGAAAATAAATGATAGAGGTGGGGTGGAAAAGGGGGCAATCAAATGAGACTGGAAAGAATGGAATCACTTGAGCAGGTAGAGAGGTTAACCTTGATAAGTAGTAAGGCCACCTCATGTGAAATAGGGGTGAAGGAGGAGCTAGTGGCAGATGGCATTTGAGTGATATGAGATGACAAAGGGAGTTCATGGCAAATAGTCTTAGTTTTTTCTGTAAAATATGAAACAAGTCTCTGAGCTCAGAAAGTGGAGGAGAGGGATCCATGGGAAGTTTGAAGAGGGATAAAAATTTTTGTACGATGGGATAGTGAATTAATAAGGCAGGTATAGAAGGATTGCCTAGCAGCAGTGAGGGCCCAGTTGAGGTCAACATAAATTCATGGTAGACCCAGTTAGAGGGGTTGTATGATTTTTTTTCTCTACCCTCCTTCAACAGCACCTGTATAGGTGAGCAGGAAGTGAATGGTGGGAGTGATCCAAGGCTGAGATTTGGCATGGTTTAATTGTTTAAAAAAGGGGACTAGGGATTCAAAAAAAGAAGACAATACATATAGAGTTGAATTGGTTCACCAAGGGGTCAAGATGGGGAAGAGGAGACAGGCTAGTATGGGAGAGATGGCCTGAGAAAAAATTGTAAAGTTAAGAGATTGGAGGTTACAGGGTGGAAGAAGAGTAAGGTTTTATAAGGGAAGACAGAGAGGTGAAAAGCCCATGAATTATGGTAAGATAAGGGGATTTTGGAGTTCTTGAATGTGGAGGTAGTACATTTATGGATGATGGCAAGGTCAGGGATGTGGCTGTCTTTGTGCCTAAGGAGGGCTGGAGGTGTAGCTTATGGGAAATGAGCAGGTTGAGGAACTGAATGGTTAGAGTGTTTGAGGCACAGTTATATGTATGTTGAAGTCCCATAGTATGAGGATAGGAAGAAGAAAAGAGAAAAATTATGAGCCATGTACTGAACTCATTAGAGAAAAAAGGGAAGTGACCTAGAGATCTTTAGACAACAAGATTTTGATTGGGTGGTAGTTATGACTAGAATGAACCTCAAAAGAGGTAAACTGGCACTTAAAGATGGTCAAAATGGCCAAAGAAGCTGTGTCATTAGTGGGGAGCTAAGTTTCAGTAATAGCTAGTAGATAGAAGAAGTAAGAGAAACAACATTTAGGATGAAGGAAAATTTGTTGCCTATGGAGCAGGCATTCCAGAGGGCACAGAGGAATGGCTGGGTGGTATTTGGTTGAAACTTTAGGGTGGGAGGATTGAAGGAGTGGGAATAAGGAATCATTTGGTGGGGGGAGGAGCAAGGGGGAAAGAAATGGAGTTTTGGGTGATGACCTCCACAGGTTCAGAATCACTGGAATATGAAGGGTATGACCAAGTATAAGAATGGTCATCACTGAGTGAAGGGTGCTATTCCACTTCCCAAAGGAGGCTGGAGATTAGACTGAAGGCAAGTGCAGTATGAAGCAGCAGGCAAATATGATTAGATGGGAGGCCCTATTTCACTATCCATCTTCCTTCCAAAGGGTAGATATTAGGCAGGAAAAAGAGGCAGAGCCAGAGATGAAAGTTGAGGGACAGCTAGGTGGCGCAGTGGATAGAGCACCGGCCCTGGATTCAGGAGGACCTGAGTTCAAATCCGGCCTCAGACACATAACAATTACTAGATGTGTGACAATTCACTTAACCCCATTGCCTAGCCCCCCCAAAAAAAAGTTTCTCAGAGATAAAAGTTGAACCAGATTTCACTTTTTGAGGTCTGATGTCCCAGCAGCAGAGGGCTTCTCAAGCAGTGTCCAGCTGGACTGGATGGAACGCTCCACTCTGCCCTAGCTCTCAGCTCTCCCAAAAGGGATCATAAGATAGTGGGCTCCATTTCTTAAGCTTTGTTTTTAAAGCCCCTTTGGCTAATGGCCATTGGCCTTGGGCTTCCTGAAGGTGGAAAAGTCTTTTCTGTGGAAAGCAGGGGGTTGTTTCTAGAGGGACTAGGAACATTCAAGCAGACAGTCCTTAGAAGAGATCTAGAAATGGCATAGGTGTCACATGATCTTATCTACCATTTCAGCATTCTCCACTGATGATGGAGGAAAAACTCAGATGGGACGTGGGTAGAATGGGTAGTACTTGGTTTTTATTTGGCAGCAGATGAAGACTCGGTTGCTGGCTTAGGCTTTCTCAGGCTTATTGCTAGGTGGGGTGGGGGAGAAGCCTTATAAATGAGTAATTCCCCTGGGCCTGTTGCCAAGGGAGTGGCCCTGAGAGACATGCCTGAGGCCAGAGGGAGGCCTGCCACATTCAGCCTGTCCCACTGTGAGAGTCCCATGTTTTAGCCTCTCTCCGGCATATGTTCATTGGTGGCTTGTTTGCCTCACCCCTAGGTGCCAGTCATTCCTGTGGTGTATTCGTCATTCTCTTCCTTTTACCATCCAGAGAAGAAAATCTTCACATCAGGTATTTCATGTGACTCCTTGGCTATATATGTGAATATGTCTCTCTGTCATATCCCCTTTCCTTGATCTGTTTCTCCTTCCTGGGCTTTTACGAAGGAAGCTCTTAGGATCTGAGCTTCAGTCTAATCAGTAATACTGGTTTTGTTTTTATTGAGCCCCTATGCCAGTTATTATACAAAGATTTTTTACTTCATACTCCCCTACATAGGCCCACAGACCCAGGCCATCTTGAATCTTTGACTGGTATTTGAGAGGAGTGAAACCCAAATTCTTTTCCCATCCCTGAGGGCATAGGGTTTGGGGTGGTGGAATAATTCACCTAGTTTTCCTCCTTGCCCCATTTTACAGATGAGGAGATGGAGGCCCAAGAAGGAAAGGACCATGGCTTGTCCCAGGTCATGCAGCTGGTTTATGGTAGGGGTGGGATCAGAACCCAGGTTTTTCAAATGCCTACACTAGTGTCCTTTCTATGACTTGTACTTCTTAGTCAGCTCCTGGGCTCTGGAAGCTTGGTTCAGAGGTCTTCCTCTACAATCTGGAGGATAAACAAACTGTCAGACTTGCGTCGCCTGGGGACCTAATATACATAAGGCACAGTGCTGACCTGGTATTGGCAATAACTAGGATACTGGTAGCACTGAGCTACTCCCTGTGAGTGTTCTTGTGCTTGGAATCCTGACTCTGGCATTGTATGTTCTGGCTACTTAATTCTGCCCAAAAGCTACAAATAGGTGGTCTCTGGGATGGGTTCAACAGAGAAGGAAAAATCAAGTTGAATCACTCGGAGATATATTTTATATTTTAAAAGGAAAAGAATTCTTTCGTCCCCAAGCAGGAATTAGGTGGAACAGGATTTTGGGTGCTTTAGGCAGCCCCATCGAACCGGTATTTGATATTCTACAAAGCACTTTTTAGACCCATCGGCTGAAAACATCCTTAGGAGGGTGGTAGCAGGGCCAATGGTCCCCCATTTGGCAGATGAGGAAATCAAAGTAAAGAAGACTTGACTCGGTGTCCCTTTGCCTTTCCCAAATGTAAGGAGCTTGGGTTAGCCACCAATAGAACCAGTAAGTTTGGAATGGCTTGGTGGATACTTTTCTTGGGTTAGAGTATCAAAGAAAATCAAGGAAGCCCATTGTCCAGGAATCACTAGAAACAAGAAGCACCTGGGGATTTTGGACCCTTAGGGGATGAAGCTTGCATGGTATGGCCCCAGATAACTTCTAGTCTTAGCATGGCTTAACACCTTTAAATACACAGCCTGCCTGGGAGATTAGGCCCAAGTCGAATCTGGGGGAAATAGGTATCTGTCCTTTTCTCTCATGTCTCTGATTGTCAAATCCGACTGTAAGCTGTTCTTTATTTGACCCACAAGTCTCCGTTCCCAAGTAGTATAGGGTGATGAGCTTGAGACCAGGGAATCTCAGTGCTGGTTTTGACTCTGTCATTATCTAGCTGTGCGTGGCTTTGGGTGTATCATCTTCTTCAAGAAGAATGTAAAATGATTGAGTTGAGGCATCTTGGTGTGGTGGGGAAAGCAGCTGGCTTTTAGAGGCAAAGAACATGGGTTTAGATCATCCCTTAACCTCCCTGGGCCTCAGTTTTTTCATCTGTAAAATGAAGAAGTTGAATTAAATGCCTTCTGAGGTTCACAGTAGTAACATTTCCAAGCCTCAACTTCCTCATTTGTCAAATGGGGCCAACAAGTTTTACCCAGCCTCCTTCCCTCCCAAGAATTTCTGTGAGGTCTTATTGAGTGATTGACAGGAGAGCACTTGGGGAAAGATCTAAAGCCCAGCACCAGAGCCATATACAGAGATTATTATGTATGCCCTTGCCCAACCAGAGGTCTCCAGGAGTAGAAGACTCATCTTGGCTCATGAATCCTCTAAGTAGGCTTCGGCCCTGCTGGTATCAGGCATACAGGGATAGCTGTACCAATACCCAAAACAACTGCTATCTTTTCTGAAGATACTTAGGGAGTCGGGGGAAGGAGGAATCCAAAGATTGTGGGCCCAAGCCACTGGCAAGAGTCAAGATGAATCATCACATTGGATGTGCACAGAGTACAGGGGCTATGCTGCCCCAGAAAAGCAGAATATCGACCTCCTATTAGCCAGGGATTCCATAAGAGGGTAAGCAGGAGGAAACCAGACCTAAGTCTGAGCCCAGCTAGGTGTGAGAGCCTGTTTCTGAGAGGAGCTCCAGAAATAGCCTTTGGGGGGATTGCCTTGGCATAGCTCATGCCAAGATGGGCTCTAAAATATCCCCTCCATTCTAGGCGTCTATGCACATGTGTTTCATCTCTGTGTATGTTTTTTGTATACCAGGGGTGAAAGAGTTGTAATATTACCTTAAGTGACTTCTCCCTCTAGCAGCCTGTGTTGTATGGATGGCTCCAGTGTCTAGTCACAAGCCTTCTCTGATCTTTTCTCTTCCAGTGATGGCAGCAGAGAGCTAGATAGAAAACCCTGGTGCAGGGCTTGGGAGGTCATGCTTAGGGCATGAGAACCAGCCCCGCCCCCCCGCCCCCCCATGACCTATTTGGGTTGGAGGAATAGGACCAACCAACCAAAGTACACATCCTGTGATGTTTTAAGTAAGGGCCTGACCTAGGGCATCAAAAATGCATCCAGGATGGCTCAACAGCAGTATCCGCAATGGCTCAACAGCAGCATCCACAACAGCAACAGGACATATCTCTTTCTTTGCCCTTCTTTCCAGGGAAGATCAAAGTAGAAGTGCTGGATCCAATCAAGACAGAAGGCCTGACAGTGACTGACATCCCAAAGTTGCTAGAGACCTGCCATTCTGTCATGAGAGAGACATTTTTCAGACTATCTAACAAGCCAAATGAAAATGGGACCAATGGGCCAACCTCACAACCTATGCAGTAGCCCTAGGCACCATCCCCCACCCGTCTGCTCAGGGTGAGAGGATGAACAGAGACACCTCCCTTTCCTGTTGCCAAATGTCATGGTTTCTGCCTCTGCTGGGCTTTCATTCTGGGTCACCTTCTCCAAAGGCCCTCTTCATACCATCTTTCTTTGGGCATTCCTTTCCTTGTCATCCATGGATGTGGTTTCTACACTATGCCTTCATCCCCACAATTGGGCCCCGAGACATCCTCTCTTTTATCTCACAAGCTGAGCAATGAAGTCCTGTGCTGTGAGTGACCCTTACTAACAGAACCAGATTACCATCTCTCTGGTGTTTGAGATCTTGTCCAGGTGAATGAATGACTTTTGGGAAGAAAGGGGTGAAGCCACCTCTCTTCTGGGGGCTGTGTGGTCTCACTCAGCACTGAAGTTTAACATCCTACCCCTATCATCCTTACTTTGCCTACTGGTGTCCAGCTCAGGTATTAGGAACAAACTTTTCCAGGCTGCCATTGGCACAGCAAGTATGAAAATGCCCAACTTTCTACTTCCTTGTTCTCTGAGCCTTTCTATCTCTTACTGCTCAAATCCTGGCACTCTGGGGAGCTACAAAAAAATCCCTCTGGATGGACAGGCAGCCTATGCTGCTGGCAAAGGCCAAGACCCTCTTTAATGATGCCTGAGTTCCCAGAGACCTAAAATTAGAGGTGGCACAGCCATGTCTCTGAAATCCTTGCCCAATTATTCCTGGAACCTGGGTGGATGGTGGTGAAGAGGTATCTGTTTTATGTTAGCACTCTTACAGCAACAGGCCAGGGCACACTGAGTTCAGAATGCTTTCCTTGTGTCTAAAGAGACCCTGTTCCTTAGACTGTGATCAAGGAGAGCAGGGAGAGAATGGACTGAGCAATGAGTTCTCTCCCTTCCATGACCCAGGAGAGCTGGGCAGGCCCTCAAACCATCAGCCTAGTTGTTAGAGACATGAGGCCTTTGGAAGTAGTGGTACGGTAGAGAAGCTGGCCCTCTTGAGTACTAAAACAAGGAAGAGCTCCCCATATCTAGTGGGGTTGTTGGGGGTGGGGATAGCTTGGGAAGAATCCCAAGCTAACTTTAGTCAGCTGGTCATAGGAGATAAACTGATGAGTTCACTGACTTTCTCTTGTGCTAAGTCTAGCTTGGTACCCCAGAGGGAACAAAGTCCAGACCTTTGCTAGGGCTACAATGGTGGCTTCCCTGTCAGACTGCCCCTGTCAGATGGGTCCCGAGGAGCAAGTTTGGGGAGATGCACTCAGGCCAAATGTTCCCTTCGATCTGGGATTTCCAGGCAGTCTTTGGGGGCCAGTCTTTCAGGCTGAGGGAGGAAGGCAGGGCTGGTACTCTGGGTCTTTGCTGCTCATGTTTCACAGAGGTCCTCCAGAGCTCGACATCCCTCGTCTCTTTATCAGTGTTTACAGAGAAGAGAAGAAGGATGGGAGTGGCCTGATTATCATGGGGAGAGAAAGTTAGAGCATCTTGCTCTAAGTAACATATTAAATCCAATAGCACTTTTACTGAGGGGAGAGGGGAAAGCCAGAGGAATTGGGGAGGATGAAAAGGGATCCTGGGGTCTCTGCAGCTCTGGGAGAACAGCAAATGGGGTCCATGGCTGCCTAGTGGGCTTCTGTTGGAAAAGTGCCTCTGCTGGTCAAGTCTAGTTTTGTGAAAAATGTATGTTTGATCTAAATTGCACAATTTTTGTTTTTCATAAAGCAGTTATTTGAAAAGCTCTTGGAGTAGTAGTCACTTGTGGAAATTTTTCTGCAAGTCAAAAAGGCTTAGTTTTGGATTTGCCTAGTGCAGCTCTTAGGGTTTCTCTGGGTCCAAGGCACAAGGGCAGATAGATTTGAGAGGACTCCTGGCTGAGTATCTACATCCAGTCTTAGCACTTTGGCCTCTTCCAGCCCCAGGGCCATGGAGACAGTCCCAGAAAGATGGCCCATCCTGGGGTGACTTAAGATAATGCCAGACTGAAAGACTCAGTGGGCCTCTAACTTCATTGGCATGAGAGAACTCCCTGAGAAGAGGGAGACTCTCCATCGCTTCAGGTAGCACCTCCTAGGTAGCAACTTAGCATCTTAGAGAGTTGCCTGGAGCACCGAGAGATCCAAGGACCTGCCCAGCTTCCCATATCCAAGGTATTTCAGAGGTTAGCCCAGACCTTCCTGACTCTGAAGGCCAGCTCTCTATTCAGTAAGCCTCAGGGCAGAACCAGCTGGAAGACCTGGGTTCAAGTTTTGCTGCTGGCTTTGGGACTGAGCAAGGCACTAAATCTCTCAATGGTCTAAGCAAATCTCCAACTTTTAAGTTGCAGAGAAGGGACTTATGTTGGGAGAGGGATGAAATCCCAAGTTCAAACACTATCACATATACTACTGACCTATGGCAAAAGCTCTTGTTCTGCCCTTCCCCAGCTCCCAGTCAGGCCTCAGAGATGAGTATGGACCATTCAGGCAGAAATGGTCTTCGTGCTTTTGGTGTTGGCAAAACTCTTTACATACAGACATGGTCTGATTTGATCTTCAGAAGAAACCTGCACAGACCTAAATGCCAGAGGCATTGTCATCCCCATTTTACAGATGGGAAACTGAGGCTTAGGTTTAAGTGACATCCCCAGCAAGTGTCAGAAGCAAGATTCAAAGTCAGTTATTACTGACCTGACACACAATCCCTCTGCATCACAGAATCCTGGGACCACACACACACACACACAGCCTCAGTGCTGAGGCCTAACACTCAGCTGAGTTTGGTTCATGTGATAGGGTCATCATCTGGGGTGCCCTCTAGAGATCTAACCACTCTATTTCCATGTTGACAGATGTGACCAAGCTCATTGTGAGATTGGCAAAGTTTTTTTCTGTCCTTTGCCCCACTCCCCACTTTGTGCCCTGTTCATGTTACTACTAGGAGAGTACCATACACAAAGGTGCCCAGGATTTAACATGCACCCTTCCCAATGGGCTTTGTGTTTTTCAAAAGATGAACCTTTCAATTAATTTAATTTCGTACATACACACACCCTCTATATAAGACTAATCCTTGTGACTCACTAGCCAATGAGTATTGAGCACCTACTAAGTGCCACGTGTTGGCTAGGAACTGAGGGAGTAAAGACAAAAATTAGGTAGACCCTGCCTTGCCCTATCTGCAGATAAGCAGATTTCATCTGTTGATATTAAAGTTTTCAATTGGCTGCCTTCGTTAGGAATTTTTAACCCAAGTGTATTGGATAATGCCTGTCATTGAGATGATATTTGTAAAGCACCTCACACGTAGTAGGCATTTAGTAAATGTTTATTTCCTCCTTTCCCCATCTGTATAATACCAATAATAAAACCATTTTTTATGTGTTATCTTAGTTGATCCTCATAAAACCCTGTGAGGTAAGGAGTACTGCTATTATAACCTATCCTTAGCCTAGATGGAAACCTAAGTTCAAACACACAAATGATAATTGTTGGAGGAAGGACTCGAGCACCTGTCTCTCTTAATTCTAAGTCTTGTATCCTTTTCCAGTATATTGGGCTTCCTACTCTTTAGGAGTGATAATTAGCATTAAGTATAATTGATCACCTTGCTAGATCTACAACAGCTTTGATGCTCTAACAAGCCCGTGAGAAGCACAACAGCCATGGGTCAAGCAGACCATGCGTGAGGGGAGCTAAGGTACCTCTACAGGGCATCCCCCACATCTTAGAGTAGTTTTAAGCTACTGAAGCTTATTCAACAACAGCACAATCTTTGAAATGCAGGGAGTTAGAAGCCTCATCTGGTTTCTTTCAGTGATGTATTTTTATTTCATGGTTGCATTCTCATGTATGAAAGGCCGCCCCAGGAAACATCAGGCCTCCAATATTTTTCCTCCCTATGTGCCTTTCCCCCGTCTACAAACAAGCGTTTATTTAGCACTTATTGTATACCAAACACTATTCTAGGTGCTTTGGTTGCAAAGATTAAAAATAACGTTCTCCTTGCTGTCTTGAGACCTTATATTCTAGGGGGCAGGGTAGAGATACAACATGCACACAGATAAAAGTATAAAATCTAGTGGAGTGTAATAGGGACAAAGGGGAGAGATAAAGTACTCAAGGAAAATTTCAGAGAGGACATTCAGGTGGGACATGGGAGGGGAACGGTGGACAGTCTCTGGGAAGCCTTCATAGATGAGGTAACCTCAATGGCCTTTTCTTAGAAGGAAGAGAGGGCTGAAAGCCTTTTGAGGAGCAGGAGTAGAAGCTTAACCTTTGATACATAGACAAGGGAGTCCTACCAGGAAGCTAACCAGCTGTGCCAGGCTATCTCAGGATCAGAGGAGTCAATACTGGAAGGAACCTTAAAGCTCCTCTAGTCTGAAGATCATAGCTCAATCTACAAACATTTATGGTGAGTTTCCCATGTGCCAGGCCCTGGGAATACAAAGAATGAAACAATCTCTGCTCTCATGGGGCCTACAATTTAACTGGGGAAACAAGTGTATATGTAAGTATGTGTTGAATAAATATAAAGAAAAGCAAAAGTTGGGGCAGTTAGGTGGCGCAGTGGATAGAGCACCGGCCCTGAAGTCAGGAGGTCCTGAGTTCAAATCCGGCCTCAGACCAAACACTTGACCCTTACTAGCTGTGTGACCCTGGGCAAGTCACTTAACCCCAATTACCTAAAAAAATAAAAGCAAAAGTCAATTCAGGGTAATTTAGGGGAGAATGGCACTAGCAACGGGGGTAGGGGCAGGGGTGGGGACATAAGGAAAGGCTTCATTTAGGTAGAAGATGCTGTTTGAATTTCATTTTAAAGGGAAAGAGGGATTCTTTGAGGTGAAGGTGAGGTGTACATTCTAGGCATGAGGGAAGGAAGTACAGAAGCAAAGATGCGGTGCAGTGTATGTGGAAAGGCCAGTTTGTCTGGATTGTAGAGTGTAGGAAAAGGGAAGAGGCTGGGACCAGTTTTTCAAGGGCCTTAAAAGCTACCTAAACAGAGAAGTTTGTATGTAGTCATAGAGGTAATAGGGAGCTACTAGAGTGTATTGAATAGGGGTGTGGTAATCAGATGTTAGCTTAAGAAAAAATTGCTTTAGCAGTCGTGTGGAAGATGGACTGAGCCCAGGTGCAGGGAGTCCAAATGTCCATAGGTCATAGATGGGGTAATAGACTTGATCTGGGAGGGACCATCCTGGCTTATCCAACTTTCTCCTCCTCTCCCCGAAGTCATCAACGTCATATTCCTTTGTTTCTTGGGTAGCTTTAAGCCCTAACCCTATTGCAACTTTCTGTCTTCCTAGTTCAGGATGCTCAGCCCTCATCCTAAGAACCCCTTTGGAGGGAGGTGAGTTACACCTCTTACACCTTATAACTGAGGCAGACAGATTCTTGGAGCCTTGACCTGAAAGTGCCCAATGAGTTTGTTCCATAAGGCTTGGCAGCTTGGGACTGTACAGTAGGCAATATAGCAACTAACAAAGTATTTCATTTGTGCGTAGAAGCAAAGGAGGGATTAGGAAGCCTAGGATGTCCTGGCTTCCTATGGATACGGTCTTAACATACAAGAAACAAAGGAAGTTTGCAACTGTTTCAGCTTGAGCCAGTGTCTTAGAGTTGCATTTATGTATCAATTTATGAAAAATCTATAATTTTGTTAGCATAGGCATTTCCATCATGGAAATTCCTTCTGCTAATGCTAATCATAATCCTGATGGATTAGACATCATTAACTATAGGTGGAAAAGACATTTGAGATCATCTGTTCCAGTCCTCTCCAGCAGTCTGGTGAAGCCTATGGATGCCTTCTCTGAATGTTTTTAAATATGTAAAATAAAATACATAGGATTACAAAGGAAACCAATTATGTTGAAATAAAGATGTAAGTTTTTTCCCATCCATATTGATGAATCCCCCCCCCCCGAAATCCACAGAACCTGGAGATCCACATACCCCCAAGTTAAGAACCCCTGACTAGTGCAGCCACTAGGAAATGCCACCTACAAAGACTATGACTGAGGATGGGAGACTGAGAATTGGAAGGGAATTTAGAGATCATCATGTCAAACCCCTTTCGTGTTACAAATGAGGAAACTGAGGCCCAGAAAGATTAAGTGACTGCCCTGGGTTGTAAAGCTAGCAAGTGTCTGAGGCCAAATTTGAACTCAGATCTTACTAACTCCAGGCCTGGCACTCTACCCGCTGCACCACCTAACTGCTCTGAGTGTGTAGATAGATATACACATAGATGTTATACATGGGTATACATATATATGACCAAAAGCAATCAATGCCCAATAGATAAATCGAAGACATGAACAGTTCTCAAAAAGAATTGCAAACTATTAACTATGAAAGAATGCTCCAAATCAAAACAAATCTGAGGTTTTACCTCACATCCTACAAATTGGCAAAGATGAAAAAATGGAAATACTCAATATTCGAGGGTTTGTAGGAAAATAGGCATACTAATACATTGTTGGGGTATACAGCACCAGGCCTGTGGTCAGGAAGACCTGACTTCAAATCCTACCTTAGACATGTACTAGCTCTCTGACCCTGAGCAAGTCACTTAGCCTCTGTGTGCCTCAGTTTCTTCTTCTGTAAAATGGGAATAATAATAGCACTTACCTCCCAGGATAGTTGTAAGGATTAAGTAAGATAATAATTATAAAGCACTTAGCACAGTGCCTGACACCATAGTAAGCTCTCTATGAATTTTACCTATTATTATAATCTATTATTATTGGAGCTGTGAATCAGTACAACAATTTTGGAAAGCAATTTGGAATTATGCAAAACAAAGTGACTAAAATGTTTGTATCCTCTGACCTAGAGATTCCACTACTAGGTTTATACCCCAAGAAGGTTGTTAATAAGGAGAGAGGCTTCACATACATGAAAATATTTATAATAGCACATTTTTGTGGTAGTTAAGAATTGGAAACAAAGTAGATGCCAGTCGATTGGTGAATGGCTAAACAAAATGTACATGAATGATTGTGATGGAATATTACTACTGTGCTTTAAGAATGATGAATACAGAGAAGCATGAAAAAATTTTCACAATTTGATACAGAGGGAAGTAAGCAGAGCCAAGAAAACATGCCCATTGACAACTATGAAATGGAAAGAATGACCACAAAGCAATTGAAAGTGTTGCAAAATTACCCTGCTTCTTTGAAGAAGTGAGAGGTCCAAGAGTAGTACATTGCACATATTTCAGATTTTTTTCATATATTAATCAGATTTGCTTTTTTTTTCCTTTTAAAAATATTGTTATATGGGATGGTTTGGGGTATGGGGGGGGGATACAGGGAGAACTTTGGTGATGTTTTTTAAAGTTATCAATAAAAATTTATGTTGGAGAAAGTCTCATGAACCTCTGTTGTTATCTCCTATCCTCTCAGTGACCGTTTGAAGGAAGTATCTGGGTCATTTGAAAAACAGGAAAACAGAAGCCCAGGAGATTTAGACAGTCTTGCAGGTAGTTGATGACCCAGGTTTCCTGACTCCTAGTCCAGACCTGGCCTTCATATCTGCTCTGAGGGCATGTGCTCCTTAAACATGTGCCACATACACAGGGAGTGACTCAGTTCCCTTTAGTGAATTTGTATCTTGCTCTCCCACTGGGAAGGCTTCCCTGGTGATACATCCCAGTATCATGTTCACGCCCATGTTCCCATTGGCAAACACCTGTGTAGCTAGTACCATGGTACATGGCATGGAGTGACTTTTCTCTGTCTTCCCAGAGTCCAGCAGAGTAGGAATGGTCATGCTCCAAGGGGCTTGGGCTTGCTTCATCTTCCCCCAGCCACAAAGCGACCTTGGTTCTGAAATAGCAATGGATGAGGCACTACACACACACTTACCTGTCACCCAACTCCAAATTTCAAAGGAAAAACATTGTGAGGGTCAGTCTAGCCTTCAAGTAGACTGACAGAATCATTGTGTTTTTAAGGCCTAGTGAGCATGGCCAGGTGCCATGGTGCTGCAGGCTCCCAGTTATATTTGCACTCAATTATCACAATCTGATAACAATATGGTTTTTATTTTTACAAAGGTTAGACTAGACACAGCGTTAAACAAATACCAGTTGTTTCTGGATGGATTGGTCCCGGGAGGCAGTGAGATGCAATTGTACTATTTTACCCACTGGGCACTGCTGCCCTCTTAACTTCCCTGAGTTGAAGGGTGGGGGTGGGATGGGAATAGGCCTCCCCTCCTCCTGCCTGTCTTGAAGCTAGAAGCCAGACACCAGAATGGTAGCAGAAATTCAGTAGGGAAGAGATCGCGTACCTTCGCCCGGATGCCATGGACAGCTTGCTCTTGGCTACGTCCTGGATGACGAATGGGTGAGTCATCCACTTGGTGGTGGGCAGACTGCCCTTACACACAAGCTTAGAATAAACTTTGGCATTGGTTGTACCAGAGGTGGGGGCTGCTGTCCAAGTAGGGAGCAGCTTTAAGAGGAGGAAAGGAAGGACATCATTGGAGGTGGGGCCAATCAAGACTCAAGATGGGGCTCCCTACCCTTGGCTCAGGTCACAGTACAAATGGGGACAAGGTTGTGAGCTTGACTCCTGGATCAGATTCACATGAGAGGAAAAAAAAAAGACCAATTCCTTAGACACAGACTGCATGCTTGACTTGATGTCACATAATGTTTTTGTGGACTGTTTGATAATATCGGGGAAAAGGAAATACTGCATGGCTTGGGTCAGCTTATCCCCACTGTGAAAGAAACAAATTAGCTCAGGTCCTCTCGCTGGCAGCTCAGGATGTGCTCCATCTTGAGGTGTTGTGGAGGGGAGATTGAACTGGGCGATCCCTACGGAGCCTTCCAACTTCAGGGTACTGTGGGCCTATGATCTCCACATACATGTAGAGAATGATTTCAATAACTGTCATTTAGATAGCACCTGAAGGTTTACAAAGTGCTTCGTATACTTAATCTGCTTTCATCCTTACAACAACCCTGTGAAGGAGGTCACTTCATGTATCATCCCTATTTTACAGAAGTAAAAATTGGGGATCTTAGAGCTTAAGTGGCATAACTAATTCATGTTAGAGGTAGGATCTAAAACCAGGTGTCTCCTGACTCCAGCATTCCTTATGCTCTATTACACTGCTTCAGAATTTAGAATTCTTCTTTCTTACTTCTTGTGGAGCAGGAAGAAACACTGGGGATCACTTAACCTATCTCCTTTTTTTATAAATGAGGAAACTGGTTAAGTGTCTTGGTCAAGACTACACAGTAAGTAGCTGAAAGAGGATTTAAATCCAAGCACCCTACTCCAAAGCCCATGTTGTTATTATTGTTAGGGTTTTCCCCTCCATTATATCATGTTTGCCTTTCCCAAGTTCTAACTGTTGCTTCTCCCAAATTGTCCCTGATAGACTGGCTTCTGATCTGACCTAGCTCTTTGGTGCCAATAATGTTTACCTTTCCCAAGCTAGGGGGAATATGTAAACCCCACTAAGATGGAGGGAGTTTTTTGTCTTCTCCCCAGAAACAGGATGTGGGGGGAGGACCAAGTCCCACCATCACTGAGGAAAAAGGAGGAATGGGGAGTTGGTGAGGTTGGGTCATAGAAGAAGGATTTAAGTGGCTCAATTCATCCTAATATCACAAGCTATCCTGCAGCCTGCTGCTTGGTCTACTTGTGGGAAGGAGCCCAGAGTGCTTACTTAAAGAGGATTAGTGGTCTCTGGCTTGAGATTTATACTCAATACAAACATCTCTAAAAGGAAAAGATGTGGCAGGTTCCCTGTGGTCCCATTCTGGTACCTTGGCTCTCAATCCCCTGCCAGGTGAGGCCTCTGGACTTAGCTGGGAATCTCTTATTGCTTATTCTTGCAGGAACCTAAACACCACAAAGAAGAGGAGGAGAGACTGGTGTCAATGGGGGCAAAGGAACCCAGAACCCACATGACCCCATCGTTAACCACAAGGAAATGTGGCCCTCAATGTTTTGACTTCCTTTCTAGGAACAGGAAGAAAGGCTATATGTGGGCTTCCTTCTCCATCTGGGGCCCCAGCCCTATGGTCTTCCCTACCTCTGGTCTCCAATACCTAGCACAAACAGATGAACTGAACCTGAAGCATGTTGGGTAGCATATTTATTTTAGGAAGGCGTCATAGCTGGGCAACACCAGCTGTGTTAGTGTGACTTGGGCCAGGGTAGGACTAGACTGAAGCCTTCCTGAGAACCATAATGTCAGGCACCACTTTTGCAAGCCCCAAATCTGTTTCCAAACCAACATACATCAATGCTATTTCTTTGACTCAGAATACCTCCCCTTTCCCTCTCCCCACCCCTTTTCTCTTTCTCTCATCCTCTACTCATGCTTTAGGAATCCCAGCTAAAGTCCCAACTGAGCACCCTTCCTGGATCAACCCTAGGGACCCATAGGTATTTCTCTCTTTAAAATTCCCTAGTACAGACTTATGCCTGTTAGGGAAATAGAGGAGAACTGGCCCTTGCCTTTAGGGAGCCTCCAGTGAGGTGGAGGAAAAGGACTCCCTACATAAAAAGATGATGAGCCAGCAATACAAAGGAAGGCTCAAAGGTCTTCTCAGTCTGAAAAGGTTTTACTTAGTCAGGAGGTTCACTACCTGAGGGCAGGGGGCAGGAAAGGACAAATAGGTAGGAAGAGGCAAAGATGCCATCCACTTACAGGTCTCTAGCCGTTCCTCCAGGAACAGAATCTGTTCACTCAGGGAGTCAATCCGGTCCAGCTGCTGGAAAGAGTGGAACAGAAGGCTGGTGTGGTCAGCAGATAGCCCATCCTCTGAGTCTGGGGGTGCCAGACTATGGAAGGGAACCAGCACCAGCTGCAGCTTCTAGAAGAGAATCAATAAATCCAGTCATCAAATCCTGTGCTAGGTGCTGGGGGTACAAGTACAAAGAATAAAACAATCCCTATTACAAGGGATTATGTTCAGTCACAAGGGGCATGTATTATAATGGAGGAGACAAGTACATTTAAATACATAGCATGAAGTTAATAAATACATATATATATATGTACATATACACACAAAAAGTAGTTAAATATAGGGTTGTTTTAGAGGGAAAGCACTATGAAATGATTTCAAATTATTATGAAAGATTGGGAAAGAGATGTCAGAAAGCTGTTTCAAGCTTTCTGGGAAAGGCCAGATAGAGATTCTAATGAAGCCTGCAGGCTGACCCTGACCCAGGGGGACCAGCCCAGGGTGCTATGGGACCTGTGCCTGGCCATCTATCCCAAGGACTTTAGGGAGGAAGTTGCTCAATGACCTGGCCTCCAGAGCATAGGATAGGCCAGCTCTGGGTAGGTCCTCCTGTCTCTACCACTTATAAAATGGGCCTTTTAGGGAACAACTTTTACTTGGTTATTCATTGTCCAATCTTCCCAGCCTCCTTTGACCTCAGCAAATAGTCATAGGTTTTCAAAGCTCAGGATCCAATGATGACAGGCCTAAATTCCCAGAGATTTTGCTATCTCCTATTGCAGCCATGGGGAACCTGCAGCCTCAAGGCTACAAGTGGCCCTCTAGGTCCTCAAGTGCAGCCTTTTGACTGAGTCCAAGTTTTATAGAATAAATCCTTTTTTTAAGGGTATTTGTTCTGTGAAGTTTGGATTTAGTCAAAGGGCCGCACTTGAGGACTTAGAGGACCACATGTGGCCTCGAGACCACAGAGTCCCTACCCCTGTACCTATCCTATCCCCAAGTATCCAACTGTTAACAGTAATAACACACTCTTATTTTTCTAATAATGTTTCTCTATTAAGTATATGATGTCATTAGCTTCTGGGCCTCTTCAAGGTCTAAAATCTGACAACTCTGTAAAGGAAGTAGATTAGGAATTATTTTTTCCATTCAAAACAGGAAACAGAGGCCCAGGGACTTGCCCAGTATTTCAAGCTAATAAGTAACTGTGCTGGGTCCACTGTGTGAGCACAGTGCTGGGTACATGGGTTTTGGGGGGTTGTGGCTCTGTGTGTATGTGTGTATCCTTTAGACCTGTGATTTCATGAATGGGAAACCCCAGTACGGAAATTTCCTTTATTATTGTAAATTAATGACTCATTTGTAACAAAGTCTGTGAGTCTCCGGGAGCACTGAGGGAGTTCAGTGACTTCCCTGAGTCACACAACCAGTATACATCAAGGGAAGGACTAGAACCCAGCTCTTTCAGACTCCAAAGATGTCCTCCTCTAGGAGGATGCCACTCCACCCCCTTGGACACAGTAGACATCTAATAAATGTTGTGACTTTCTTACTGGTCAGTAGCAAAGTTTGCAATGGGTTAAATACTACCTTAAAAAGTGTTCTTCTAAGGTCCCATGAGGTGAGACTACCAGAGTTGGAGACTGTGTATTGGTGGAACCTGGGTTTATTGCAATCTGATTTTTCTCTTGCTGTGGGAGGGCTAAGAGCTATTTATTAGATGGAGGCTTTTGGATTCAGTGCCAGGTTCCTAACCTGCCTATCTTTTTTTTTAAACATTCTTTTTAAAAAATGTATTTAGTATTTTATTTTTCCCTAATTACATGTAAAAATTATTTTTAACATTTATTTTTAAAACTTTACAGTCCAAATTCTAACCCGCTGATCTTGATAGCTGGATATTTTGCATCCCATTCCAGGGTTCTTCCCACCATGCCCTATTATTTCTCAATCCTTGGGCCTGGCTGACTAAACTGACTCACAGTTTGAAGAAGCCGCCATACCTTCTTCATCCAAATGGTAGCATGAGCTTTTACCAAGCTGAGACTTGTCCCAGCTGGCAGCACCAGGTTGCCCAGGAGGTGATGGGGGCAGTGGGTGGCATCCATCACCTTTCCTGTAAGGGTGGGCAGGTAGGGGAGTTTTAAAGGAAGAATGAAAAGATGCTTCTCCCATGAGTCAGGCATACCCTCAACATCTTGGACCTACCAATTATCTAGAGTTTCAAAGTCATTCATTAGCCATGCTGCAGGTGGAAGGGAGAAGGCAGGCCTCATAAGACCCTGGGAGTAGCAGGGAAGGGGAAGGTGCCAGGGTCTTCATCTTAGTTGGTATCTCCATCATTCTCCTTAATCCCCAACCACCCTCAATATTTACTCAATGCTTAGTGTAATTGGAACACAGTTTCTGAGTACCTAGTGTATTTGGGTTTGAAGCAATCTTGCCCATTGTTTAGTGTTAATGAACCCAGGCTTAAAGATTTGAGTGGCCAGATATCCAGTTAGCTTTTTCCCAAAGAAAAAAATTCAGTAATTAATTCCAGTCACTACAGTAATCTATGTATCATTAGTTGGGGGTGGGAAATAGGTAGGGGAGGATGGGGAGACAAGAGCACTAAATTTGGGTTCTTTTTTTTTAGGCAATTGGGGTTAAGTGACTTGCCCAAGGTCACACAGCTAGTAAGTGTCAAGAGTTTGGTCTGAGTCTGGATTTGAACTCAGGTCCTCCTGACTTCAGGGCCGGTGCTCTATCCACTGGGCCACCTAGCTGCCCCGTGAATTTGGGTTATAGTCCTAGCTCTCCTACTTAGTTTCCTTATTTATTCATGGTGGGGGCAGGCAATCAGGGTAAAGTGACTTGCCCCGAGGTTACAGTTAGTAAGTGTCTGAGGTCAAATTTGAACTCAGATCCTCCTGACTCCAGGATTGATGCTCAGTATATCCACTGCACCACCTAGCTGCCCCTAGTTTCCTTATTTATAATATGAGGAAGAGTAGGTGAAACTCAAAAATGGTCTTGAGACAGAGGTCTGTGAACTTTAAAAAAAAATTATATATATATATATATATACACACACACACACACACACATATACACATATATTTGATAAGTATTTCAATAGAATTTATTTCATTTGTAGTCCTATGTATTTTATTTTATTCATTTAAAAACATTGTTTGGGGCAGCTAGAAGGTGCAGTGGATACAGCAGCAACCCTGTAGTCAGGAGGACCTGAGTTCAAATCTGGCCTCAGATACTTGACACTTACTAGCTGTGTGACCCTGGGCAAGTCACTTAACCCCACTGCCTAGCAAAAAAACCCAAAAAAAACAAAAAAAGGAAAAAAAAAAAAGAAAAAGAACATTGTTCTGAGGAGTTGGTAGGCTTCACCAGACTAAGTGGGCCAGGACACACACAAAAGGGAAAAATCCCTGGATTAGATAGTCCCTAGATTTTCCTCCAACTTTTAGCTCTAAGATTTTAGGATTAGTGGACTCCAAGAGATTATAGATGACTTAGTACAGCCGATCCTCATTAGAGTCTACACAGAGCCTTGATTTGTACAATAGGTACACTCCTGTAAAGCTGCGTTTAACTAAAAAACATTATCAACTGAATTTTGTTCTAAATTCCCTCTGGGGAGTTCACCACCATGTAGGCCTATGGCTGCAAAAATCTGAACTTGGAGATCATTTTTTAGCAGCAAAATCTTCAGTGCCCACAAGAAGGCAATAAGGAGACATTTTCTAGTCAGGCTAGAAAACTGTAGACCACTTTGCTGAGGGGGAAGTTGGATCGTTTTCCAGGGAAAATTAATCATACAGGAATTTGGGGGTTCTAAAAGCTTGCAACCACAAGGTAGGATTTGAAGAGCAGGGACTACTTCATAATGCGTATGACTTTCTGTCAGTGTTTATACCTTTCTTTTATCCACAGCACTGGATTTTAAAAAAAATGGTCATTGCTGCTTTGGGTTTGGTCAATAAATTGAGGCTGTGTTTGGACAATTAGGGTTGTCCCTCCTCCCACTTTCAGTGGTAGAGTGTGGATTGAGTTAAGAAATACTTGGGAAAAAAAAGTTTTTCCAAGGTCACTTGAAATGAGTGTGTATTGGGGAAAGGTTCTGGGCTTTCAGCAATTTGATTTCTCTGTAGTTGCTGGAAGGACAAGGACCTCTGAATACTGGTAGGCTCTAGGGCTGAGTATCCCATGTCCAGCCTGCAGCTTCTGATCACTGCGATTAGCATCTAAAAATTTCCTGAGGCTTATTTCACTGCTCATTGCACCCAAACTGGGAGCTGAGTCTGGAGTGAGATCAGAATTTTGTCAATTACCAAAGGGTCCAGAGTCCAGACTGCCAGGTTCAGAGACATTTCCCTCTCCTCCCTCTCAGTGGAATCTAACCTTAACACTTATCCTGGATTTCCCTCCTCAGTGACTCTCCCCACCCATCTATTCCATGGTTTGTTCTTGGTAGGATTGCCAAATAAATAGTATTTGATTTGCCTAGATAGCACTGTAACTTTTGTGTTGTGCTATGATCAACTTTTTTAAACTTTTTTTTTTTTGGTGAGGCAATGGGATGAAGTGACTTGCCCAGGGTCACACAGCTAGTAAGTGTCAAGTGTCTGAGGTCAAATTTGAACTCAGGTCTTCCTGAATCCAGTGCCAGTGCTCTTTCCACTGGGCCATCTAGCTGCCCCTATGATCAACTTTTAAAATTGTTCTCCGCATGCAAGTGACGCTAAAAGTCAAGGGAGAAGTTGAGTGGCTTTTGCCTTCTGCCAAGTGGCTTATTGTCAGGTTATAACTTCAAACGACACTGTGGATAGAGTGCTAGCCAGAGTCAGGGATCCCTGGGTTCACAATCCTGCCTTCCATACTGTAGCTAAGCTGTGTGACCCTGGGCAAGTCAGTTCACTCCCTGAGCCCCAAGAGGTTCTAGAGTTAGACTATCTGATTTGTGGGTCGGATGGTCTTCTAGGAGATGTCGTAGTGGGCTTTGGTGATGACAAATTAATAGTGCTCTTGAGGAAACCACACTGGTCAGGGCAGCATTATGTGGAGTAGCCTTCAGAGTACTGGGGTTGCTTTCAAGTGAAATACATGCGGGAGAACCTAGGAAGGGAAGGATTGGGGGAATACAGTGATCACAGAATCCTAGGGAGCTGCTCACTGTAGATTTTTTCTGGACAGAGGAATTCTATTGATGCCTCTACCTACATCTCAAATCTGTTCTGAGAAAGCTGCCAGAAGCTCACCTCCTCCAACACATCCACTCGACTCCTTAGCTTCTGTATTTCTTCTTTCATTTCATCAGAAGCCTCTAGCAGAGAACAGGAGGAAGACTGAATCACAGAAAGTTAAAAAGACAAACTCAACGCACTCCAAATATCATTCCCCTCCTCCCTCGTCCCCAACTCCAATTAGGAACAGAAAGTGAATTCTGGATTCCTACAATTCCACAGATTGCCAACCCATTGGGCCTCCAAAAATGTCTGTTGTGTCAATCCTAAATCTGTCCTACTTCATCAGAATCATCTCTCTCATTCTGTGTGCTTCCTCTCTGGTCAGAGATCAAGCATGGATGAAAGTTCTTTGCACACTCTAAGGCTCTATAGAGATGCTAGCTATTATGAGGCAGTGAAAAGAGCAAGGGATTCAGGGTCAGGCCTTGGTTGACTCATTCAACAATTCATTTGATATTTATCAAGTACCTACTATTTGCAAAGCCCTATGCCAAGTGCTAGGGGTACAAAACTGAAAGGACACAGTCCCTGCCCTCAAAAAGCTTACAATCTACTGGGGAGAGTAGAGCTCAAATAAATATAATTCAAAGTAGAATATGATAAGGGCAAAGGAGAGATTCAGACAAAGTTCTGTTTCTGCCACTGACCCAGTATGTGACCTCAGGCAAGCCATGCTACTTGGAGCCTCAGTTTCTCCATTGGTAAAATAAGGAAACTGGACTTGATGATCTTGAAGGTCGCTTCTAGCTCTAAGGTTCTATGGTTTATGTTCTCTGATGTTCTTACTGTCCTATACACATAGCTTATACACATACCCTAGCCTCTACCCTATTCTCTACTCAAACCTGGGAGACAGGGAGTATACAATCCATTGCCGAGATCCACGTCGTCTTTCTTGCTGCCCGGGCTGCCAATGGCGCATTATTACTCACGGTACGAGTTTGATGTGTCACAGCGCGTACCAAAAGTAATAATGACCCATCGTCAGCGCCCATGTTGTAGCTTCCCTTCTGTGATGGAGAGAAGCAGGGAGATAAGCTTGGAGGACTCCGGGATGATGAGCTGTGTTGGAGCAGGTGTGTAGGATAGAATCTCTTAAGGCTAGAGAAAATTCACACCCGGGAGGAAAGAAGACAAGGGAAGGGGCTGCCGTCTCCCTTAAATCCTACATTGTAACTCCTTAAGCTCATTTGAATATCTCTTCATCTCCTCATAGGCTCTGTTGTAACCCAGTCTTGTGTTCAACAAGCTTCCTGAGTACAGGGACCAGATTTCCTACCCTTTGGATCTCCCCACAGTAACTAGCACACCTGGGACTTTCCTATTTGGTACTTCCAGATCCACTGAAACCTCCATGGATCTGATGAGGCAGGCAGAATGTTACCTGGCTGAGGCTGCCCAATGGGACAAAGAGTTGAGGTCACTCCTGGGGAACCACTCTGGGGCTGGCATAGTCTCCCATCTGAAGATAGCTCGTATCCCTCCTGGCACTGGCAGTGGTAACTCCCAGGACTGTTGATGCAGTTCTGGGGGCAGCCATGACCAAGCTGACTGCACTCATCCACATCTGAAACAGATGAAGGGGGAGGGGAGAGAGGATCAGGATGGGGCTCTGAATTTCCTCTTCCTTGCTCTGCCCACCCTATCCCCAACAATAATGAGTTTTGAAGCCCTGAGACCATCCTGGGAAAATTGTTCCCTGGAATGCAGGGACAGGAACTGCCAGTGCTGTGGGCACCATATCCTTGGCTCACAAGAAGCTTACATACAACCTGGCATTTACTTGCCATACTAAAGCAACAGTGGGCACCAAGGAGGGGGAAGGAGGTAGAGCTGTAGGAGACTTCTCCAGGTCACAGGACATGAGTAGGTAGGGGACTGCCCATGGACACTGGGGGGGGGAGTGCAGGATTTATGTCCTGACCCCCTAACCCTCTGATCCATGGCCTAGCCCCCTGGCCCAGCTAGTTCTGGAGAAGGCATCTCTTCAATAGGTACTTTCCTAAGAATATGTAGCCAAAAAGTTTACATTCTCAGAGTCCAGAAGATGGTATGGTCTAGCACAGGGGTGGGGAACCTGTGACCTCAAGGCCACCTGTAGCCTTCTGGGTCCTCGGGTGTGACCTTTTGACTGAGTCCAAGTTTTACAGAACAAATCCTTTTATTAAGGGGGTTTGTTCTGTGAGGTTTGGATTCAGGCAAAAGGCTGCACTTGAGGATCTAGAGGGCCACATGTGACCTTAAGGTTCCCCACCCCTGGTCTAGCACAAAGGGTCTGGAGCTAGTAGTCATTAGGAGACCTGGGAATCTCATCTCTGCTACTAAATAAGTGTGTGCCCTGAGATAATATACTTAACACTTATGGGCTTCAGTTTCCCCGTCTAAGAAATGGGGGTAATGAAGCTTCACAAGATTATAAAGATATAGGAAGTAAAAGTACATTGGAAATCACAGAGTGTTGGATGTCTGTAAAGGGATCACTAATATAGAAATCAGACATGGGCACATCTTAGAAAGGACATCCTTACCAATTTGGCAAGTGTCTCCTTGCCACCCTGCAGAGCATCTACATCTACCAGGCCTGGCACAGCTTCCTCCATTCTGACAAGGTGATTGGCATATTGCTGTATGAGGAGAGAAATCAAGGCACTGATGGTGGAGGTAATTAAATTGTGGGAAAGACAAGAAGAATGGGCGTTTCCCCAGGAACAAAAGAAGAAAATGCCCCCTTCACCAAACTCTTCCCTATGTTACTAGATTAATTTCTCGGCACTAAGAATTACTAAATTACTAAATTCTGGGTGATTACTGTTACTAATATTATATATTATGTCATTTGGGACACTTTGGTGCCTCCCAAGATGGTCTTAGTATTGACACTCTTTCCATCAATGTAGATTGCAGCCCTTTAATGCCTTCTCTTTCTATATATTTCTTGTCCACATTCTTTGGGGACTCCTCCGCAGATACTACACCCAATGTGCAAAAGGCCTTCTTCTGATTCTCTTACTATCACAAGAATACCAAGTCTAGCGCTGGGGTCATCTCATCATATGTTATCCTTCATTCTTGCTACATGGCCAGCCTACCTCCTTTTCTGCTCCTACACCCTGTGATGTCATTTCTCAGATGCAAAGCATCATGGGTAATAGGTTATAGCCTGATGGTTTTCTATTGTTTGTGATTTTAATTTACCCCAAATCAAGATGTTCCATAACTGACAATTACTCAGAGGATATGGGAGTTAATGCTTCACTAAATACTAGGTATCATTGTACAAATGAGAAAACTGAAAGCTAGAGGAATGAAGGGAATTGTGATGTTGCACAGCTAATTAGTCACTGAGCCATCTCTAAAGGTGTTAATCATTTACTAATACCTCAGGATAAGACACTCCCTATCTTTGGCCCAGCTATAGCCCAAAAAAAGGCTTAGATTGGTAGTCAGGAAACCTGAGTTAAATCCTGGTTTTATGATTAACCACCTGTAGGACCTTGTATAAGTTCTGTCTCCCTCTCTGGGTCTCAGTTTCTCCATCTGTAAAATGAGGAGGTTAGGCTAGATGATCCCAAAGTACCTTCCAACTAACATCTTCCTATCTTCCAAAAACAAGGCTCTTCTCCCACCCCATCTACCATAATTTCCAAGGACCCTTTCTTTTATTTTTATGGCTTGCTCAGCCCCTAAGATGCTAGGCCTTACCTGTGCCACAACCAGGGAGCCCATTACTTCTTCTCCAACCTGGGCAGCAAGTATATCGTGGTGGGGAGATAATCCGAGAAGCGTATCGGTAAGCAGTCTTGTAGATGGTCCTATGGGAAGGTGCCAGAGGAGGGTTCAAATGTGGCCCAGGGAATCCCGGATGATTGCTGGTTTCCAAATCCCCCCCCCAACACAATAGCCTCAATTGTTACTATGTGCCAGAAAAGCCTTGATTCTATATTTCAGCAAAATTGTGACTCTTCTGTAGAAAATGGGATTTGGAGGAGAGAATCCCCAGGACTGAGGACAAGACTTCTTGAGAAAGGACGCCCAGCTTATTCCCAAATATGTGTAGTGTGTTTGGATGTTTGGATGGAGTCAAGAGACTTGGCTTCTATTCTTGGCTCTTCTATTCATCAGCTGTGAGATCACGGGCAAATCATTTCTCTCTAAGCCTCAATTTCCCCATCTCTAAAATAGGGTGAATTAGATTACCTTTAAAGTCCTTTTCAGCTCTAAAATTCTCTATTTTTGGATCCTGTCCACACTAATGAAGCTAAACTTACTAAGGTGTATTGGTGGCCACCCCAATCTCTCACCTCTCTAGGGTCTATCTGGGCTAGATGACTAAGAGGTAGATTGAATACACATTGTACTTGGGGTCAGAAAGACCTGAATTCAAAACTTCCTTGACGCTCATTAGCTGTGTAAACCTGGACAAATCATTGAACATCTCGCAACCTCGATCTCCTCATCTATAAAATGAGCGCCTACCTTCCAGGATCAAATGAGATAATGTATGTACAGCATTTTGCAATCCTTCCTTAAAGCACTATAGAAATACTAGTTGAATTTAATAGTTGTTGTTGTTATCGTTACTGTTGCTCCAACTGAGCTAGCTCTCCCTAGAAAGAGCTTCAGCTTGAGTTGGGTAGGAAAGATAAAGAGTTTGGATCTGAACTAAAGTCTCCCTAAGGGTAACAGAATACTAGCCCATGCTATGTCTCTAACTTATCTAATTCCTACCTGTTCTCAAGGCTCAATTCATGCCTTTACACCTACATGAAGTAGTCCTTGGCTATGGCCACAATAATTAGAACAAAGAATGTCAGAGCTCAAATTGATCTTAGAGACCATCTGGTCTGAGTCCCCCCACTTTATAGATAGGTAAACTGAGACCAAAAGGAGTAAAATTCTTTGCTTAGGGTTTCATAACTAATTAGCAGCAAAGTCAAAATTAGAACTCTACCATACCACCATGCCTTTCCTTCCCTTGGGTCCCTAATTATTTTTTGTGTTGAGTCTCATCTCCCTACCCAGAATGTGAATTCCCCAAAGATAGGGACAGTGTCTTCTTCTGGCTCTCCTCTCAGCATAGCCTGGCACCAGGCTGGGCACCCAGGAAGATTATAGTCAATTTTTTATTACTGGTTGGTTGATTGATGTGCCCAGTGTGGCAACTTTCACCTGAATGGATGTTAGGGGCACAGAGGAGCCATGGTGGTTGGGAGACCTGTACCTGTTTGGTGGCCTCTTGGGTGTAACCCTTAGCTGGCTCTGCTGGGGCTGTTCAACTTACCGATAGGTGCTGCAAGCTCTATGGTCTTCACAGATGGTGATGTAGGGCTGGTAGACCCTCTGGATATAGGACTCAGTGACAGGGACAGTTTCCTTGGTAGCTGCTATGGAGCATGTCCTACGACTGAGCAGAAAAAGTTAAGGGTGAAGCAGGAACAACAAATGGGATCACTATAGGCTTCCCTCAGCCTTGGCTCAAGGAAATGGATTAGAAATACTATAAAGTGGGAAAAAAAAGTAAATGGGTTGAGAAAGGAGGTTTTCAAGTTGTGACCTAAACCAGGACTCAGAAGGGAATGAATTTGAATTCCCATGATGTGACTTTGGGTCACCATGTTTATAGCGTCCCAAGGGGCTGAGCTTCTCGTGTGATTTTTAGCCCTCTCCCAGATCTCCCAAATTGGGCCAACAACCCTGTAGGTCAAGGGTTCTTGTCCTAGACCCCTTTGGCAGTCTGGTGAAGCCTAGGGACCTCTTCTCAGAATGATGGGTTTAAATGAATAAAAGAGGATTACAAAGAAAATCCACTATATTAAAATGCAGTTATCAAAATAGTAAATAAAACAAGTTCACGGATTTCAGATTAAGTTCATGGATCCCAGATTAAGAACCCCTGACAGGATAGGTATTTCAAACTACGAAATAGTATCCAGGCCATTAGAATAAATTTGAAATGTTCTGTCTCCATTCCTTCTTTCCACTCCTGCTTCTTGACCATGACTTACCCTGGCCGGTAGAAATGCTCTGTGTGGCCCAGTCCCAAAACGAAAATCCAGGTCACCAGGAAGGCCCCAGGACTCCACATTTCCTATATCCTCTGGATAGTGCTGTTCTTGTTCCAGCTCCTACCACATTTGCATGGTTACTGGGATGACCTGAAACTGGAAAACATGATCCAGAGAGTAAGGTCCCTGACAATCTCCCTTGACTAGGACTCAGTTCCTCTGTAAGAAAGTAAGAGCTCCTCACTAATTACCCTCCAGATTCCCAGCCACAAAAGTATTCTTGACTTTTAAACTTTACTAAGACTTTTGGAACATCCTGTATAATGCTAGCTATCATTATCAAGGGACACACTCCCTGGCATTGGGCAGCAGGTTGTGAGAAGAGGGGGATTGGTGGGGAGGAAATATCTTAAATGGATACAGTGCTGGATCAGAGGAAGGCCAGAATTCAAATCCTGCTTCTCACTAGACTGTGTGACCATGGGCAAGTCACTTAACCTCTCTGAGGCTCAATTTCCTCAGTTGTAAAAGTAGAGTATAATAGCAATAGTGCCCACCTCACTGGATTCAGATGACATAATGTAAATAAAACAATTTGTAAACCTTAAAGTTTCATGTAACTATGTGTTAACACTATTATTATTGTCTGCCCAGCTAGAATGGGAGCTCCCCAAAGGTGGGGACCAGTCTCCTTCTTTGAATGCTCTCTACAATGCCAATGTAAGGTTGTACAAACAGGTGGCACTCAATTGTGAATGTAGCGCCACCAACCGGATGTCTCCAGAAATTGACATCTCTCTTCTCCCTCTGGACAAATCATCAGTGTGAGCATCCCCAAGCAACGAGACACTGTATATTCACTATCATGCATTCAAATGGGCAAACGTTTGCTCATCCTTCTTTTTTTTTTTAAAGGCAAATAATGTGATCTACTTTCAACACATGTTCTGATGAACTGAACAAATTAGAGGAAAGAATATGGCAGGGTGGTAATGCTTGGGCCACTCCAAGAGGCACGTTACTGTCAAACAGAACACGTTTTGGGATCTAAAGTGCCCTGAAACTTCTTGTCAGCCAGATGTTAAATTAGAAAGGCAGGGAAGAGTTAGCATCCAGAACAAAGCATCTTGGTCAGGCCTGGAAGCATTTAGAATAATGATTAGCTCAGAGAGCACTGACTAAAGGCAGAAGAATCCACTGAGACACAGAAAGTTGAAACCAGAAAGTTCAAACAAAAATGGATATAGACAGGCCTTCCTGAGCATCGCTGCCTAAGTCTAGGCTGACTCAAGGACCTACTTTCAAGAATAAAGACAAGGAGATGGATTATAACAAGCATGCTAGTTTTATGGCAGCGTGTGCTTGTAAAATGCTGGATACAAGTTTTGTTCGCCTCAGTAGATTAAACATCCCCCTAGCAATATTTCCCTAGGGACAGTGTTTGGTGGGGGGGTTAGCTTAGAGAACCTGCCCACCAGATGCATGAAAAATCAGGACATATTCCACAAAGGAATCTCCTGGTGGCTGCATATTTACATAGTAAAGAAATTCCTTATATGCTGGCCATGGGTGAGATCCCCAAATCTTTCTCACTAGGAGACAGCAGAGTAAGGAACCCGGGGCAGCAGGTTCCCACTTCTACCATTTGATTTCAAAGAGGATTTTTGACCCAGAAATCCCAAGATACCAAACCCTCAAATCCCATCTCTTCCTGCTTCAGCACTGACTTTTCTTGACTATTCTCTCTTCTGATCTTCAAAGCCTTGCATGAATTGACCTCCTCATATCCACTCATCATCATCTCCTGTGACTCCAACGCTCACTCTATTTCAAGTGAGCTTCTTTCTCCCTTGTTACCCAGCATAGATCATACTCACTCACCTCTGTCCCTTTGCTCACCCTCCACCCCAAACCTGCAATGTCCTAACTGGCTATTTGCCACCCATTGAATACAAAGCCCATATCCTCCAAATCCTTCCTAATGCCTCCAGCCTAGTCACCTCTTTCTTCTCTAAAAACTACTCCATTACTGGAACTACTCAGTGTTATTGGAATATAGTTCAACACAGAATTGTTTTCTTTTCCACCTTTGTCAACTCCATCACTCCAGCTAAACTGTGAGGTTCTTAAGAGTAAGGCCCAAAACAATTTCTGTCTCCCTCACAGCCCCTAGTGTAGGGCTGAATACACAATCAGACACAGGAGAGTAAGCATGGTGGACCCTGAATTAGGTTCCAGGACACCTGGAACTCAGTTAGTGGCCTTAAGCCAGTCACCTGTCACTTCTTCTTTCTAGGACTCAGTTTCTTCTTTTGTAATATAAGGGAATAAGACTGAACGATCTCTACATCCCTCTTAGCATTAACATTCTATGTTCTGAGGTTCCTTCTACTAGTCCATATTTTTCTGTATTGTTGATTTACAAATCCTACTTTTGGGGGTATACCCTATTAGCTTGCTTCTAGGGAGTAAGGTTGGTACCTGCCACCCTGCTCCCCCAGTGCACACCAGAGAAAGCAGATAGAGAAAAGACCAGATCAGTGCAAAATAACAGAAAAATAATATAGTCAAATGTTATATATTGGCTAGGGTGTCAGGGAAGGTTTCCTGGAAGGGCCTTGAAGTTGAGATATGGAGAAGTATATTTCAGGCAAGTAGAATAGTTCAAACAAGGCAGCAAGGGAGGAAAGACCAATGCATCTTGGGAATGTGAGGAGACTGGCCCAGATAGAGTATAAGGCTCTTAATGGGGAGTAGGGAGAAATAAGTCTAGAGAAGGGACAATGAGGACAAATTGAGGAAGGTCTCAAATTCTGGGATGAAGAATCAGGGCCTTTTGAAGACACAGGAAGCCAGAGAAGATTTTTGAGCAGGGAAGTGAGGTGATTGGAGTTGTTTATTAGAAAGATTAATTTGGCATGTTATGCTGGATGGACTGGATAAAGAGACTAAAGACAGAGAGGTCAGTTAGGCTATTACGACAGAAAGGCAGGCAATAAATGGCCCCTTTAAAACCCTTACCATCTTTCTCCCATTCCTGAAGATGCCCCACCCTAAAAAAAAAAATCTGAGAAGGAGGAAATGCCCACAGCAATATCCTTGAAATCTAGTGGTCCAGTTAGCAATCTGGGGCCAAAGGAACATTGTCAGGTAGGATCACTTTTCGACTTCCTTAAATATTAAATCAATAGCTTTCTACCTGCTTTCCCCATGTACAGGAGCTGCTAAGGTAGTCTGTGCACCCACAGAAACAGAAAGAAAGGGGACAGTGGAACCATCTCAGTAGCTCTAACTCTTCCCAATCTTTCTCCCTCTTTTCAGACAGACCCTTCAATAAGAGAGGGGAGGTTACCTCTCTCCATGCACCTGGTGATTGATCTTAAACAAAATCACCCTCTTGTAGGTTTAGAGGATTTGGTAGTTGGGGAAGGTAGGGGGTGGATAGGATGGAAATGTGTCTGGGGGCTTCAGAGGATTAGGAGAGCTTCTTATCAGTGGCCCTGGAGTACCAATAGGGGGATTTAAGTAAAAACTTTTCTTTGTGGGTGAGAGCTATGGCTTGTTAATCTAGAGCTACAAGGTATCTCAGAGACCAACTAGTCCAACCTCTTCCTTTTACAGATGAGGAAACAGAAGTTCAGAGAAATTAAGTAATTTGTCCAAAATCACAAGGGTAATAATGTCCGACAAGAGATTTGAACCCAGAACCTCTGACCTTAGTGACAGTGCTCTTTCCACTTTCCCACATCGCCATCTGATAAATCATACTGAATCAGAAATGTGATTCCGGAAGGGAGAGAGAGATAGAAGGGAGGGCAGATTAGGGGAAAGGTTATTCAGAATGCATGCCATCTTGGGTTGGGGGGAGGGACGAGATGGGGAGAAAATTTGGAACTCAAAATCTTGTGGAAGTGAATGTTGAAAACTAAAAATAAATAAATTTTTTAAAAAAGAAGTATGATTCTGTCCCAAGTCCTCTAACTGGGGTCAGTGTACATCCCTTTTGTACCATGCAGCTTCCTCCCTCCAAACTGTGAATGTTATCTCTTAAAACACCTAAAGGTTGTAGGGATTCCTTGAGCAGTAACTAAACCTATGCTGAAATCTAAACCTTCCTGGGGGGAGAGGTCATACAGGAAGCCCGCTCTACATAGCATCAGTTTTGCCTCTACTTTCCCTTCTGAACTAACTTCCCTTGGTCTCTAAAGCTGATTCTCCCCTAGTGACCACCAGGTGGGGTATTTTCCAAAGGCTCAAACAGTCTCTGTGAAGAGTACCGTTTCACACCTCTGAGCCCAACCAACCACCTCAGGCACCCCTGTACCCCTTTGATTAGGTGACAGACCAGCCCAGGTACCCCAGTCCTTCCCCTCTGAGCTGGCTCCTCTGCATTTGGCCTGCAAATAGAGCCTGGAGATCAAAGAGAAGGAGGAAAAGGGTTGTGTCTGTGAGTCTCAGGACTAACCCCCAGCATGTTCACAGCCTTCAGCTCTTTGCTACTACCCCTTCCCTTTGTTAGTTTTTTTTTCCTCCCAGTTTTCTCCTCTCTCTCTCTCTCTCTCTCTCTCTCTCTCTCCCTCCCTCCCTCTCCCTCTCCTCCCTCCTTGCCTCTTTCTCTGTTCCCTCTTGCTCTATTATCTTCCTCCGTCTCCACTGCTTCCTTTCCGTCTCCTTATTCTCTCTTCTATTCTACCAACTCGATCGTCCTTCCTCTAATCTCAACCTCTCCGTCCTGCACCCCAACCCCAACCCCGTCTCCCAGGATCTTACTCTCTCCGAACTTAGTCCTCCCTCCTTTTTTTCTTTCTTAGTCCTCTCTCACTCTGACCTCTCTCTGCCTCACGTGCTCCTTCTCCCTCTTCCCCCTCCCTCCCTTCCTCCGTCTCTCTCTCTCTCCTCTCCGTTCTGTCCTCTTTTTACTCTTTCTCTCTTCTCTCTCTGAACCCTCCTGCTCCATCCTTCCTTTCTCTGCCCCCCATCTCCTTCTGTTCACTCTGCCCCTCTCTGCTCCCCCCACCCTGGCACCCTCCTGCTCCATCCCTCTCGCCCTTTCCTCTCCGCTACACTTTCGTTCTGTCCCTCCTCCCTCTCTATGCTCTCCGCTTCCCGCCCCCTCAGCCCTTCTGCTAAGTTCCTTCTCCCTTTCTGTCCACTAACTGCCCCCTCCGTTCTCCTTCTCTATTCCTCCTCTCTCAGCCCCCCCTCTTTTTCCACTCCGCCCCCTTCCTCCTCGGTCCCCTCCCGCTGTCCTCTCCACCCCCCGCCCCCCGCAGCCCAATTGTTAGTTGCTCCTCACTGTCCCATCTCTGTCCACTTTGCGTCCTCTCTCGCTCTCTCCGGGTCTCCTGGACTCTCTCTCCCCTCTCCTCCTAATCTCCAGTTCCTCCAAGGCTGCCGGCTGAGCCTGAGGCCCTCCCAAACCCCCAAATTCGGTCCAGCTTACGAGGAGAAAACTTAAACTTTTTATCCCCAGTCTCGGTCCGGTGCCCCGGTTGTCTGAGGATAGTACCCTCTAGGGGAGAGTCCCCCGCTCGGCCTGATCTCACCCCCTTTCACCCCCAGCGCCCCGCGCCAGTCTTCACTCACCACGAGTAGGTCCTGGCGCGGAGCGCACGCTAAGCTGTAGGGGTACCCAGCTACGGGGGGCGCCTCGAGGCCCCAGAGAGCGGCTATGCCTGGCTGCCTCTGCCCCGCCCCTCGTAGCTACAGCCCCCTCCCCCGGAGGCGGGAGGGCTTCTACCGGGATAGGGATCCCGGCCACCCAGCATTAAGGGTAGTTGGAGGGGAGGGCAAGAGCGTGAGCAGCGGGGTCCCCGCCCCTCCCCGGCCCATCCCACCTTCCCGCCTCAGGGATTAAGCTGCCTACCCAGCCTGGCTATCCCCCGGGAGAGCCCTCTTCCCTATCCCCACTGGGAAAGCGTGCAGGATCCCCAGTGTCAGCTCTGGACCTTCCTAGGGTCGGGGAGATTGATTTCCAGCTTCCAGAAACCCTCTTTGAGTATGTGGGGACGGATGGCTAGGAGGGAGGAGGTACATTTGGAGACTGTCCAAAAAAGTTTTTGTTCTTTAACTTCAGACCTTCTAGCCTTTCCCATTATTCCTAATAAGATCACGTCTCTCCTGGGAGGGGGGAGGCTGAAGTCCGAGCTTTAGAGCTTCCAAGAGGAGACAGAAGTGTAATATCGGAGACTCATAGTATTCTTTTGGAGATTAGAAGAGCACTGGGATGTGGGCATGGAATGAAGGATCCAAATGATAACAGTAACATTAGCTAGCATTTATGTAGTCCTTTACAAATATTATCTAATTTTATCTTCACAACAACCCTGGGAGGGTAAGTGCTATAATATTTTCTTCTTCGAGTTCGGCTAGTTTGGGACAATCAAATCTCTCTCCTCAACTAGACCAAAATCTCATTCTAAGGGAGGTGTCCTATAGAGAAATTAGTCCTCTGCTCTCTAAAAGTTGAATCTGGAGAGTGAAAAATGAAAAAAATAAAAATAAAAGAATAAAAAACTTCAGCCGTTGTGAGAATTCAGAGTTGTATCTACCACCACCACCCTATAAGAACTAAGGTTTCTTTCCTGAGGCCATTTCTGTACATGTCCATTTTCCCTTGTAGGGACTCATGCACCTGGATTGAAGGGTTTGTGATATGGCTAAGGGCCAATAAGTACTTCATCTTTCCTCCACCTCTCCATAGGTATCTAGGTTGTAACTACATAAACTAACCAGCTGAACTAAGAATGATGAGGCCCCAAAAAGAATATTTTAGGTAAACAAAAGTTTTCTACCCCAGCTTAAAAGATTTCATTAACCTTTGGGAGGCAATGGAGTGAAATATAGTGGGGCGGGGGAGGGGAGAGGAGCACTGGATTTAGCATCAGAAGATTTAGATTCAAATTCTGACTCAGTTCCTTGCTACCTATGTGATCTTGGGCAACTCCCTTCACCTCTATGAACTTCAAGGTTTTTTAAATTTTGTTTTTCATTTATAAAATGAAAGGTTGGAAGAGATGATTTTCTAGGTGAATTTCATCTCTAAATCCTTCAGCTTTTGTAAAATTGAAACTGGGAAAGGTTGTGCTTGTTCAATTGTTTTTCAGTCACATCCAATTCTCCATGACCCCTTTTGGGGTTTTCTTGGCAGAGATACTGGAGTGGTTTGCCATTTCCTTCTCCAGCTCATTTTATAGATGAGGAATTTGAAGAATACAGAGTTAAGTGACTTGCCCAGGGTTACACAGCTAGTGTCTGAGAATTTGAACTCAGGCCTTCATGACTCCAGGCCTGAGGCTCTAGCCACCTGACTCCCACTGCCACTCCCTATCTGTATTGCCTGTCATTGTTCTAATGGCTTGACTCCCAGCTAGAATGTCCAGTGCTTTGGGAGCATCCTGGTTTTTCTGGAGAAAGGGATAGTCACCAAGGAGGGAGTGGGGTACCAAAGGAAGGATGATGCTTTTGTCTAGAAAGTGGTTAGGAATCCAGGAGGATGGATAATCAAATGGCTGACTTAAGGAGTAGATGGGTGGGAAATGAGGAAAAAACCCCTCTCTCTGTTGCAGTTCTGGATGTGTCAGTGTGAAAACCTACTGTGGGGTTGTCAGCCATATTGTGTGTTTTCCTCTGTGGTTACTCACCTGGTTTTCCGGGTTCAGTCATTTGTCTGGATTCTTGGGATTCCTTCTAATCATTGCCTCTGGCTTGCTATTGGAATAAGGGGAACAGGAAGATACAGTGGGTCATAGTCTTGGCCAAAGACTCAGTTGCTTAATTTCAAAGTAAAACCTAGATTGATTAGAGCAAGGTAGAAATGAAGGTCAACAGCACAATTCCCCATGGTGTACTTAGCTTCACCCTATTTTGAGAACACAGCCTGAACCCACTGCCTCCAGTTAGCAAATTCTTTAATTGGGGTCCCGTTTGAACTTCTCTCCTCAAGCCTAATCTTTTATTTAGACTGAAGATTCAGGATTACCTGGTTGATCCTTGTGCTCAGCAATCGCTGATAATATGTTTGTATTGTCCCAAGTAGGTGTGAAAGTCTAAAACTTGGGACAGGGACCCGGTCTTAGCCAATATTTACCCCAATTACCAAGGCTTGCTGTCAATGAATAATGAGCCTTTATCCTGCACGTTTGAAGCAAAGCCTAGTTAAGTGAATTTGCTCCTGGTTCTTCCCTTCTGCAGGCACTAGTTGTTTTATACACATCTATGTTCAGTAGGTATTTCTCCAGCCCAAGCCCTGTTGGCTTTAATTAATGAGGCAACTTAAAGCAAAGTAGCCAGTGAGTAAACTTGCTGTGACATTTGTAAGGCTAGTTCACTCTTCAATCATATTTGGCAGGTAGGAAGGGGTGTTGGGTCAAGACACATCCTCACTTTGTGGTCTCTCTAGGAGAAAATTAGAGTGCTAACACTGAGGCCTTCACACTCTCACAACCATTGTCACATTTGATGGGACGGCCTACCTGACTTGTTGGGGGATATGGGCAGAGTGATATAGTGCAGGGGCCACTGAACTGGAGTCAGAGAACCTGGGTTCAAATCACAGCTCTGCTGTGTGTTATCTGACGGACTGACCTTATGTCTCTAAATCTTTTCATTCTCCTGATGTCTGTTCCTCCTTTCTAGAGTCAAACTCTGGGGGATTTGGAACCAATCTCCACCCTAGTTTATACGTAGGATTCAGAGCTGGTACAGACCTCAACTATCACTTAATTCAAATCCTCCATTTTACGGATAAGGAAACAGAGGCCCAGAGAAATAGAATGCCTGGCCCAAGGCCAGGAAAATGCTAAAAGGGCATAGTATTCAAATATAGGTCTTCTGACTAAATTCACTGGCTCTGGTTTTGTATTCTTGAACTATACTTGGTAAAGGGGAGCAAGGGTCTCTGCCTTCAACCCCACTCCCCAGCTCTCCTTCTAGCACTGCCTTCCTCTCCCCAACCCCCCCACCCCATGGAGAATGTCAGGAAAGCTTTTTGCTTTAAAGATTTGCAGACTTTCACCAGCCAATGCCTACTTACAGATGACACATTCAACCATTTCTTGTTGTGGCAAAGCTCCCTTGAATACCTCTCATGAAGTTCTTTGGCATTAATCAGGATATGGTTGTGCTTCTGGTTTTTCTGTCCTTTCTTCCTCTACCTCACTCCCACTTTTTCTCCCTTTCCCTTCCCTTCCCTTTCACCTCACTTATAACCTACTTTTATACCTTTCAAAGTGCCCTTTATCAATTTTCATGTTTGGCATTCAAATCACTCCTGTAAGTAGGTACAGATGGGCATTATAAACCTGAGGAAGCTAAGTGACTTACCCAAGATCGTGTAACTAATTGGGAAATCTAGGAGCTAGATTTCCTGCTTCCTATACAGAGCTATTTCCATTGCAGTCTTACCCAGACAGAAGTACTCAGACATTGCTTAGTTCTGCCCTGCTGGACTCCCTCAGGGTTAAAAATTAGGTGGCTGGGCCTTGGACACCATGATCTTGGATTCATCCCTACCTCAAAAGGGATAGTGTTGCCAGGAACTCATCCCCAGGCCTTGGGAAGTGTATAAGCTACCCTGAATAGATGAATAGTCCCTGGTAAAAAGAAGCATCTAGGGTCCCAGGGCTGCCTAGTAAGGGCAGTAAATATCCGGCCAGCAACAGTACCCCAAAGTCAGAAATAGGGATCCCTCCCTCTTCCCTACTACCTATTTGTAAGTCCATTTTATTATCCCTACCAGAACCCAAACCCATTAACCAGCTCAGCCGAGAGTCTGGGGAAACAAAGCCTCTTTCCAACCCCCAATTCTTCCGGGTCCCTTATCTGTGGATGGATGGCGTTTAACCCTTGACCTGCCATTATCCGTTCTCTGAACTTTAATTCCCTGGCTCTTTCAGCTGTGGCCAGGTGGAAAGAGTTCCAGGCAGGGAGACAAGAGGCCTGGCTCCTAGGCCTTTCTCTGCCACTGACTCCCTGGATGACTGGTTTTTGCTTTTTCTTTGATCCTCACTTTCTCTCTCTCTAAAATGGGGATAATACTTTCTGCCCAGCCTTCCTTGAAGGCTGAGAGGTTTAAATAAGAAAATAAATGTGAAAGAGTTTGGGGAGACCAGGGGAAAACCAGAAGCCTTGTATCCAAATTGAGGGATTATTGTTAATGCTGCAAGGCGGCTAGACACAGCAGACAAGTCTGCAGGGCCCATTTAAGGAGAGCAAAAAAAAAAATCTTGAAGATTAGGTTTGAAGATTAGGTGCCTGGCTTTTCTCAGATGACTTCTTCCTCCTTGACTCAGAGCATGTGTCTGATTCAGAAATAGAAAGCATGCAATGAGCCACCAAATCCTATAGCTATGACCTCAGCATTTTTCATTTTGTTTTTGCTTTTTAAAAAAAGAGAAAAGCTATTTGTGTTCCTTAATAATCACAGAGACCTGTGTTCTAGTCCTGGCTCTGTTCCTAATTCCCCTTGTGACTTTTGGGCAAGCCACTTCCCCTGTCTAGAATTCATTGTTGCCATCTAGAAAATTCGTTTGGATTAAATGATTTCCAAGGTTCCTTCCAGTTCCATATTTTACGTTCTAGGTTCTAAGTTTCTTTCCACCTTGGACATTTGATGTTACTCGACCAGGGTAATAATACACAGGTTCCCTCACTATGGCACCATCTCAGGATGCTTTCTTAGAGCACTTCCCTGTATCCATTCATCAACTAACAAGCATCTGCCAAAGACTTAACTGTGTGTAAAGCATTGTGCTAGGTGCTAAAAAGGGAGGCAGAAGAATATGAGGCATAGTTCATTACTCAAGGCGTTATAAACCGCACTCTAGGAGACAAGATTAAAACTTGCAAGAAAATGACGAATACAGGAAAATGTATTAATGACAGTCTGGACAGGTTATCAAATTCTAGTCCTAACCCTGAACTAACTAGCTATGTAAGTCCTTTTGGTCTCTGAACTTCAGTATTCTCCTCTCTACATTAAGGGAGTATGAATATTAGAGCCAGAGGAGATCTTAGGGATCATCCAGTCCATAGTTCTCTGGTCCTATGTAGAAGACATTCAACAAATACTGAACTACTGGGTTAACAAGTTCCCATCTCCCTCCCTTTCTAGGGTCCCTATCCCCTAGATGGACTCTATACCACACCAAATCATACCTGCTTCCGTAGTTGTTCCAAGCCCCACTGTTCTTCACCTCCATCTCAGCCCCCAGAACTCATCTCCCTCCCCAGCCTCGACCCTATTAGGGTCACCAGACACCTTTTCATCATGCTATCTGGGCTACCTCCACCTCCTCCAGGGAGGCATTGAGGCTGCCACCTTCCTCCCATTCCTGTTGCCTTTTCTTCTCTCATCTGTCCTGGTCAGGTAGTAATGGTCAGCTTCACGCAGAGATGGGAGGCCCCTCTCTCAAGGCAAGGAAGGGCGGCTTTTTATGCTTCCCTTCTCCTGTAAATCAGGATTGGGATGGACAATTCCAGGCCGGACTTCCTGTGTGTGTTACTCGCTGATAAAGAGAATTCTGTCAGCAGAACAAACAGGAGGCTGAGGGGATGGGGGCAGGGGGATGGCAGGAGGGAAGGAGGTGGGAGGAGAGTCTAAAAGGAGCAGTAGCCCACATCACAGGTCCCTCCTAAGCTCCTGGAGAGTGGGCATCAATCTACCTGGGTCTCTAAAAATGTTCCTAAGAATCTGTGTGGTGTGATGGAAAAAACCCTGGACTCTGGGAGACAAGTGATCTGGATTCTAGTCCTTACCCTGTCCCTAATTCTCTTCGTGAGAGTTCTTTACTTCAAGAACAGAAAGTCGAGGCCTCTGTATATTTATCAGAAATATCTGCCTTACCTTCCTCAGAATGCAGGTGAAAAGAGGCCAGGGGAAATAGCACTGGACTTGGCCTCAGAAGGTCTGAAACCTGACAATTCCTAGTTGTATAACCCTAGGCAAATCACATTTCCTCTCTAAGCCTTAGTTTCCTCATCTATAAAATGGGAGGAATGATACCTGTACTGCTAATCTCAAAGGATTTTTATGAGCAAAGTACTTTATAAGCCTAAAGGTGTCAGATAGATGTAAGACGTTACTATTACAGTACCTTTTACATAATGGGTACTTAGGAAATGTTGAATTGAATTTCTCCATTACATTATTCAATAAACACATAATTAGAACCATGGAAAGAGTGCTGGATTTGGTGTTAGAGGACCTGGATTCAAATCCTGGCTCTTCCACTTGCAAATTCTGTGACCTTGGGCAAATCATTTAATGTTTCTGTGCCTCAGTTTCCTCAGCTGTAAAAATTAGGAGATTCCTAAGGTCTCTTCCATCTCTAAATTGATGATCCCAGGATCCTATCAGTGCCTGTCAAGTACCTATATGAGTCCTCTACTTCAGGGTGACAGTACCTCTATCCCCATAGGAAGGTGTAGGACTTTACTGAGGGCTAGCCACAGGACCTCTCCCCAGCCCCCAAGGTTCAAGGTCTGAAGCTTCACCAAAATGTCTTCCCCAGAGTACAATCTCCTCAGTCCACAGGATGAGAGAGATCCCTACTGGGGAATAATAGCATTATAATTAAGAGAGCACTGTAATTTAATTCAGAGGAACTAGGTTCAGACTTCTCTGCCACTTAGACCCTATGTACTTTGGGCAAGTCAGCTAGGACTCTCTGGACCCCTGTTTCTTCATCTATAAAATAAGGGATTGGACTGAATGACCTCTCTCTCCCTTCCAGCTCTCAATCATATGATCCTATGAATCTCCCCCAACACAGAGGACTTAGAGAGGGATTTGGTCATCAGTTCTTTGTGTCAAACACCCTCTGGGAGGCCAGGAGACCTGAGTCTGAGAACTTAAGTGGAATTCTTGGGGGTGGGGGGTGGGGAGAGGCGGTTGGCAGAGAGATGGAAAAAATTCCAGAACCTTTCCAATTCTGGCTGGTGAAATCCATCAGGTTGGGAACAGAACACCAGCTGTTGCTGGGAGAGGAACTCAGCTTTGATTTATCCCCTTCCCAAATGGGAATGAGTCAGACAAAGAGACAGTAAGCCTGCAGACTGCCCATAAAAACCCCTCAGGGAAGGCAGTGAGAGAAATAGATAGGTGTTTCTGAGCCAAGAGACAGGGAGATACCATATCCTGTATGTGGCCTGATACAAATTCCTTAGCTTTCTTACCCCAGTGGATAAATGCCTTTACACTCAGGCCTGTCCCCCAGGTAATCTGGTCTGTAAACTCCATCGAATCTAAGTACTTCACTGGAGAAATAAGATCCGGAGAAGGGAATTGACTTGTCCAAGGTCACAGTTAGTTAGGGTTAGGGACATAGAATTGTAGATTTAGAGCTGCAACTCTAGTTCAACTCTCTCATTTTACCGATGAGGAAACTGAATCCAAGAGAGGCTACATGACTTCTTGAAGGCCACACTGGTATAAAGTGTCAGAGCCAGGATTCAAACCAGGTCCTTTGACCCCAAATCCAGCCCTCACCCCATTCCTCCAGTCCCCCAGTTAAGAGTTCTTTCCCCTGGACCACCCACATCCATTTAACTAACACCTGAGACCCTCCACTAGAATCATCCCCTTCCTGGGCTCTTCATGGTATAGTGAAGGTCACTCTGGGTTCTCCAGGGTTATAGCAGGGGAGCCCAAGTCCTGGTAGGTTCTACCAAGCTGAAAAGGCTTCAAGTGTGGGCTCTGCAATAGATATTACGTCCTTAGACTGGAGGCTGGAGGTCCTTCCTCCATTACCTCCCTGAGACACATGGTGATAAATGTTATGATCACAGCAACTCCCAAAGACAGTTGGGAGGGTTCTTGATATGTACTAGTAGAGGAAGGAGTACTCACATGGATGAGCATCGGTCCTTAAAATATTCAACTCTGGTATAATTGAGCTCTGACTATGTACAGGAGCCCAAGCCAGTTGCTACACAGAGTAGGAGGGGCAGGAAATGTTACCCGCTTTGTTCTAGGAAAATCAGGCAGGCTTGACTCCAGGGGCCCCCTTCCTCTAATTCTGCCCTCCTTTGAGACTGCCCAGCCCCAACCCTCTTGCCCCCAAATTCTTTCTAGGGCTTGCTCCACCCCAGAGGATGTGGGGTGTTCTGATCTGATTTCATGGAATCCCAGATATTGTCACCCTTTAGAGCCAGCCCCTGCAAACTTGTAAACTAAGCTCTTTGTTGTCAACATTCTGGCCCTCCCAGTTGAGGTGCCCTATGGGTATGGGCCTGCCTGGTCTGGCTGGTGTGGCATTATGAGTCCCCCCCCCAACTCTAGCTTTCTCCAGTGATGGTTTCCCCTCCTCCAATGGGAACCAACTCTTTTCTTATTCTATCTACTCAGAGCCCTGTTTTTTGACATAAATTCAGATTTAATCAGTTACTAGTGTCTTTGCTCCTCTCAGCTCCCCCATGTTTCTTCATATTTACATTATATCTAATACATACTTGCTATGAGTACTTGGGGTCTCCTGTGTTAGAATATAAGTTCTTTGAGGGCAAGTACTGTTTCATTTTTGCCTTTGTATCCCTAGTACTTTGCACAGTGCCTGGCATGTAATAGGTATTTCATAAATGCTTGTTGACTGATTGACTGGTTGAATCACCTTGTATTCATGTGAGAGGACTAGAAACCTAATTCTGGGGCCCCATCTATGGACTTTGCCAGGGTCTTTCTGGGGGCCTTAACCCTGCTTCTATCTCACAGCCTTATTCCTACTATTCTTCTCCCATGCTTGATATTTTCCTGCCTCTTCTGACTCATTGACTTGATTCAAGTCTTTTCTGATGCTTTGAGTGCTCAATGCCTACTTCCCTCCCACCCTTCATCTCCATACATTGCTCTCTGGTGTATCTCCACCCCTCAGCGGTTAAGCCTTCCCTAATTCTCTTAGCCATCAGTGAAACTTTTTGTGAACTTTATTTTTTTGTCTTGGCTTATGATTTTATTGGTGTGAGACAGAGGTGTCCAGCACAAGCCTGCAGCACTCTTGAGTGTGGGTCAAACCAAATTAAACTATAATTGGGAAGTATTTTTTAAAATAAATAAAATCCAACAGAATATAAATAATTTTAATACATGGTTTTCTAAGTCAACATTCAGCCTGCTGGGATCCTTATGTATGGTTTAGTGACCCTTGTTTCTTTTTGAGCTTGATACTACTGGTGTAGGGAACTCTCAGGGCAGAAATTCCATCCACCAATGTAGATAGCAGACCTGTTCTGAACTTTATCATCTTAGTAGGAACTTGTAGTGTCAGAGGCAAGAATTAAACCTAGACCTTCTAACTCCAAGGATAACCCTCTATGCACTTGGCAATGCTGGCTGTCATGAAGCTCTACAGCAATGGATTATAGTTATTCATGTCCTTGTATATATTATCCCTCCTAAAAGAAGGCAAGCTTTCTGAAGGTAGACACAGTATCCAATTTATTTCTTTGGGGCAAAGCTGGGTACACAGAAGATGTTTGTTAGATGGATGAACAAACATTAGATCACTGAATCTTAGAGTTGGAAAGAACCTTAGAGGATGGCTATTTCACTCTTGTTATTTACTAGAACCTTAATACATATTCTCTACAACTCAGATGGGAGTAGATTTCATTCTTTCTTTCTTTCTTTCTTTTTTTTTAAGAAAGTACTTCCCCACCAGGGTAGAAATCTTGTATACAATAGCTCCCAAAGTCACCTTTAATAAAGTAGCTTTAAAATCTGCCATCCAGATCACCTTCCAATCCCAAACCAGATGTATGGATTCTCAGTAAAACATGAAATATTTTCACTTTTCAGAACTCAGTCTAGCTTCCCAGATGATGACATGAATTCTTTCTAGGTTCGCTCTTTAAGAGAAAAGAGCTGGCACTATGGACTGGTAGATGAACCTGGAGTTTTAGGGGAAGAGGCGGTATGGCAAAGCGAAAAAAGCAATGCACTGGGAGACAAGAGACCTGAATTATAGTCTTGGCTTTCCCAAATAATTCCCAGGGCAACCTCGGGACCACTCCTTTCTCAGGCCTCAGTTTCAAATGTGGGAATTAGACTAGGTTAACTCACGTATCCACCGCTAGGATTTTATGGGTCTAAGTTTCTCCTAAAGATGACTTGGCTCCAGCCCTTCCCCTCAAGAAAATAAGTGAGTTACCTTTTTCTAGTTCTGCAGGCCAGATGCACGACAAATTGGCTGAGAAAGGCAGAACCCCTGTCCTTGCCTGAGATCACTTGCTGCCATGTTTCCCCAGGCTCCAGCTCAGCAGGAAAGGTCAGAACCCTTGACTAAGGCTCTATTGCACATCCCAAACTACCATGTGACATATGGGCACTGGTGACATCTCCATTTGAGCCAGAAGAGGTGGGAAGAGGAGAATGAACATGTAGAGAAGGGGAGAAAAAACACCATTTCCTGTTTATCACACCAC